ACCCTGCCATACTTATCTAAAATTAAGTATCACAAAATGTAAAATACATGCCGCTATAAAGATAAGAGAAAGCAATAAAGCTTCTAAAGGAACTGGACAAATGTGTAAGCCATGCACTGCTAAGATAGTACTGTGAATAGAGAGGACTAAAATGGAAAATGCACAAAAAAAGGTAATGAACAGAGTAGAGAGGAAGTGCTGAACATTACTGAAAGGCAATAGAAAATGGCCATGATTAAAAACACTATATTCAAGCTTTAAAGTGGTCACAGGATGCAAAACTGAGTTTACATTGTCAGATGAATAACAATAGTGGGTGAAATGGACGTACAGAGAAGTTCAACCCCATGCAGTGTAGTCGACTAAAATCCTGGACGATTATGAAATTCCTACCCAGAGATTTTTTTAGGTATGAAAAATAGGACATGTCCAGGAAAAAGAGGACATCCGGTCACCCTACCATATCAACAATTTAAATGTTTCAGGGAGTGAGTGCTTGTTGCAATGCGTCTTTGCTCAGTAGCTTCCCTCGTTGTAAACTGACCAATCAGCGCACAGCTCATCTAAATATTCATGAGCATACCATAAAAGGAAGAAAACCTGTCGTTTCATTCTAGGGCTTTTAAACCATTAGGGCGCATAGAACAGCAATTATGCCATTTTTTTTAGCCCAACTAATGTTAAACACCCTATTCAGAGGCCTTAAGGACCAGCACCAAATACCCTTTTTTAATTATTCTATGACCCCTTTAAAAAAATGCACATGCAGAACATTGTACCCACTCCTGAGAGGGATCGCCTATTAAACGCACGTGAAAGTGTGCACAAGCCCATTTCTCCTCGTGTACGCTCTGTTTAAAAGTTGCTCTTGTCATAGCTCCTGCAAGGTTACTTTGCCTGAAAGTCTGCCTTAACCCCTAAATCACTATATAGAGCAGGGACTATATGGTGGACTTCATAGTGAACTTATTTAACTAACCATTTGGACAGACTACTACTTTTTGCTCCCTGTTGGCCACATAACTCCTCTTCCAACGTGCGGTGCCTGTGCCATCTTTCTTATTAGTCGCCGCTGTGACTGGAAACCCCATAATTCCGGGATATATCTGCCTCTTCTGTGGCCTTTCATTCCTTCTCATACACTTCGTAGACACTTTTCTCTTATGACTCTCGGCCATTTTCAAAGAAAGGTGAGCTTCAATGACTGTCTAAAACTGTAGCTCACCACAAATATAAGCCTTAAAGTGCGCATGCGCAGAAAAAAATAGCTAACTGGGGACGAGCATGTAGGAAAGCCTTATCTATACTTATCACCAGAATGATTGACAGGAGGACCACTTATTTTGATGATCCACCCGGAAATAAAAGATTGTCCTCCATACCTTTAAATAATATTTTTTACATAAACAAACCAGGTGAAAATAAACTTTTCCACTCTGGATGGAGGATAGTTGACGGTTATTTCAATAATCAATTAATCACTATTAATCCAATTGTTTTAAGCTTAACAGTTACATTGCACCAATGACTTCAATTTTATGATTGCAATGTTCATTAGATTATTTTGCAGAGTGCACACATTTAAGTTTTTCAACAGTGGTATCGTATCAGTATTGGATAGCACACAATATGCTCAGCCAATATATCTGTATCGGACTGCATTGGGAAAAAATTGATCAGTTAATCTCTCCTAGAAGTATAAGCTCAGGATTTATTGATTGTTTTATGTACTTTTTGAATTATTTTAAGCCTTGTTTAAAGAACTAAATATGTTTTACTGTCTTGCATAGAGCGCACAGAGTCAAAAGAGTGAAGAAAAAAAAAAACAACGGTGGAAGGCTGAAATGAAGTTGCATCAGCCACACTGATACAAACTGATGGACAGCAAGAACTCAAACAACATAGAAGCCCTCAAGCTTTTTTAAGCAGACTGAAGCCACAAAACGGGAAGTGAATGCTAAAAGAAAATTGATAATGAAAAAATAAAAGTAGAGCCACTAAAGAGAGGGGAAGAGGAGAAAGGTTGTATATATATTTTAAGTTAATAGACTTGAACTTTACTTGCGGCAGAAGGTTGGGGAGCGATTACTGCCATTAAGATGCAGGAAGACTGCGTGCATCAGAGGGAAAGCGTGTGTGCAGCTTTGGCTGTGACTTGTCACTGTATTTGTGTGGGTAGGGACGAGCAAGTGCACAGCACTGACCTTGACTGTCAACTGGGACACACTTATCCACTTTTTCTACTGGCCTCTTTTCTTCTTCTTTCTTTTATTTCTACATATAACCTCCCCCTCCTACCTGAACGAAAACCCACGAGAGCTCCAAACCACTCAGGAAAAAGGTCAGAGCGGTCTCATCCTTTATTACATGCCAATCAACCCCTAACAACTCTACTGCCCCTTTTCTTTATCCTCGCCTCCACTTATCTGGTGTACGTAGTGTTTTGTTTTTATCTCAGTCAAAACTGATTTATTTATGCTTTATATTAAATGGAATGTCTTTAAAATCAAAGTAAAAAAAAAAATTTATCAAAGTATTTTAAAAAATCTAGCAATTAGAATTCAGTTAAATTCCGTTTATTTATATAGCGCCAATTCACAACACATGTCATCTCAAGGCACTTTACAGTTTACCAGATCATACAGTAAAATTAAACTACTTGGATCTACACATAAAAAAATAACTTTTACACGTAATGATTAATAAATAACAAGATTTATGAATGATTCTTTTTTAACATTCAAAGCAAAGGAAGTTCTTTATTGCATTAATTTGCTCCTAAAACAAGCCAATGGTCTATGAAACTCATAACGTTTTCTCTTAATTAGTGCCTACAGCTGTCCTTTATCACATCTGGCTGGAACTGTTATGATCATTCCTTTCACCTGTCTAGCTCCGTCTAGTTCCATCACTGTCCATCTGTGTCACCTGGTCCAGTCTCCATTTAACCTGCCTTCTTCCAGACATCAGTGCCAGATTATTCAAGCCTTTGGTGAGAGTTCTCTAGCATACCTAATTGTGTTCTGATTGTCTGATCCTGACCTGTTCTGCCTTTGGACCTCTGAGCCTGCCTGTTCCTTTACTGATCTGTTTTTCTGACCTGTCTTTGGATATCTGCTCGATTCTACATGTGGATTGAACCTGGATCTGCCTCTTGATTTCTGAAAACAGGTTGGTGTGTTAAAACCATCCGTGCATCCATCTATCCATCCACCCATCCATAAGCAAAGTAAAACTTATGATCAGGAGATTCCCAGTCCACCAGCTGATTAACCTCAGAAGTCATGGGCAGGGTGGTCATAAGGGGGTTCAGGAGCATTCCTGAATGGCTGGCTCTGTTGTTTTTAAGCTGGACCAACAACTTGTTCTGTGGTTTTTCGACCCTATAATAGAGCTAGTTTGCTACACCGATGCTAGGCCTTCAATCTACAGGTGAGATACAAACAGCCGCTACCTATAGGAAAAGACAAAAAACAAGCAAGACCCAGCTGAATTGGCAAAGATGCTGGAAAAAGGATAAGAGATGGGTAAAGCAAATAAACTTTATGCAGGCTGCAGCCAGTGTAAAAATCAAATTTTTTGCTGGTACACGCCCTTTACAGTGCCATGCATATCTGTTTTGTGAATAAAATATTTATGAATAAATGTATATCAGTACTGGCTGACCTAATAAACCGACTTTTTTATTGTAAAAGAAAACATTCAAGAAAGACTCTGTGATCAAATTCAAGAACAGATTTTAATAAAGGTACACCCTGTTTTAATCTATAGCTACTTCTACCACCTCAAGAAAAACAACAACCAGCTGATTGATTCACCTGCTGTTTGTGTGTTTAGCGTTTTCCTTATCGTGTTTCTACCCTGTAAATTATACACAGTTATAAGAAGCTGTGGGGGCCAATGTTTGTCAGCCTCATAGAGTGGATGCAGAAAGACAGTGTAACACTAGTCACAGGAGGGATGAGGAGCAGTAGAGAGAGGAAAAGGAGATAAATTAAGTGAAGGGGAAGAAGGTTGGAAAGTGGAGCAGGAAACAACCCCTAAAAATAGTGCCAGGTAGGGGTTTAAGGTTGGGTTAGCAGCAGGTCTTTGCTACTGCCAACCCAGATTTATATTCATCTCTAGAGGTCCAAGGATTGTAGTCAAAACTATAGGCTCTCTGAAAATTTAAAAACAGGCCAAAAATTATTTTAGGACTGGTTTGAATTTTAGAATATAACTTTGTTTTAGTTCCTTAATATTTACCTTGATTTTTATGATAAGCTGCTTGTTTAGTCAAAAGTGTGTAATCTATCAACAAATACATAAAAAAAACAGCTTGTTGTTGAATAAGTGCTCTTTACTGCAAATGAAGTGTTAAACTAAAGTCCCGCTTTCATCCAATGTGCATTCCGATAAAAGGCTTCTCCAAACCAAGCTCAATCTTATCCCAGCACCGTTTGAAGATCAGTTTGAAATTTGACTGAAGCTGCATAAAAATATGATTAAAAAGATGAAGAAAATGATAAACATACAGATGTTGCATAAAAAACCCTCTCAACAACTCTGCACTTCCCAGGACCTAAATTGTAAGGGAGACACTGTTTATACTCATATAAAGAAGAAATTTGAGATTTTTAGAAGTGATGGATTTTGAAGAGAAAATGTTTTGGAACAATCATCAAAAACATGAAGACATTTTTTTTTTTACTTAAATGACACCAAACCTCAAATGGGGAGGTGTTGGCCTTGTGGTTAAAGCAGTGCACTTGTGCTCTGAGAAGGTTGCAACTACACGGTTCGATCCCCAGAGCCTACACTATGGGTCCCTGAGCAAGACCCTTAACCCCCACACTGCTCCCTGGGTGCCACACAATGGCATCTCACTGCTCCCAAAGGGAATGGGTTAAATGCAGAGAAGGCTATTGTCCCCATTGTGGGACAATAAAGGGATTTAAATTATTAGCAAACTACTAATGTTTATCAGCATTTATTACACTCATTCAAGTCATTGTACTAACCTGGTAGAGAGTGTGGTTTTTGTCCTTAAAGCAGGGCATTAGTCTGGAGTAGATCTGCAGGGAGTAATAGTAGGCAGCCAGCTGGAGTGACAGAGCAGAGTGGCACTGCTTCTCAAAACACTTGTTGGCATCTAAAACCTGCATGTATTAGAGACCACATGTTAGAGGAAACAGTTTCAACATAATATCATTAGCATAGCAGTAAAATGGACATTAATTTATAAAATTTATTTTGATTTACATGTGTGATACAGTTTAGTTCGATAATCCCATTCTAACTGTTGAATTGCCTCATAGATTACAGACCACTGTAATCTGTTAGCGGTGGGACTGTGCCGGAATCGAAACAAAAGATGCCTCTTATAAAAATAAAAATAAAAAAAGGAAAAAATTAATATATGGTGGTTCCCATGCATTCCCCAGCTTTAATCTGTGCTACATTCACATGCTTACAGAGTAGCATTTCAAATCCCAACATGCTATTGTAGCCACATTAATTAATCTAGGGTAAAATAAAACATAATTTTGTCAAAAAAATATTTTGCTTTTTTACCCGCATTTGCCTATTAATCAGCAGTGTAAAGAGCAGAGGTGAATAAAATAGATAATGGTTAAGGAATACTAGCTGAGAATACTTAAATAGTTAATACCTAAAAATAGCAAATTAAAAGTCTGTCCAGTTGTGTTAGATTTGCACCCATTAGATACTTATTCAATCAAGTAATACAACTTCATTAATAGTGCACAGTCATAAAAACACAGAGCTTAACAGAGATTTAAAGACAATGGTCCCTGGGAAAGATTTGTTGACCATGAAACTATTCAGCACTTTTGGAACAAGATTCTTCAGAAGCATTTTCAATGCGAGGAGGGCGTGGGGCATTTTGTAAGTCCTTTCCTCAACTCTCCATCCTATTGATAACCTGCTGCTGATGGCTATGAAACCAAGAGTGATTAGAGAAAACTTTGATTTTAATTCCTTCCAATGACAAACTGGGATATAGATTTAGCAAGAATTGACAAGCCCCAAGTGGCATCAATATAAAAAATGTAATGTTGTTCTTACATAAAGCAGTCATGTTTAGTCTGTTGAAGCTTCAGGGACCCTCTGTTCAAGAGGAGGTCTCTGTTGATCTGAAAAGACTTAGATCTAAAAACTTTGCCATAATAAAAGTGACGCAAGAGCTAAGCCAATGCTGAGAGATGGCCATTAGGAGTCCAATTTCTAATTAGACTTGGGTTCATGTGGGGCACCTCATAATTGTTCTCTGGTCTGATTAGGGGGAAAAAATGTAGCTTTTTGCCCATATAGAACTAATTCTAATATTCACCCTGAACAAGACAAGCCCACTGTTCCACATGATGATTGCAGCATAATGCTGTGAGGATCCTTTTCTTATCAGGGGCAGCAACATATTCAGATTTTTACTGGAAGATGGATGGAGATGAACAAAGGAATCCTTGAAAAAAAAAAGCCAAATGGAGGCTTGAAAAAAATAAGAGAGTAGAACAGAGGTTACCCTCTAGTAGAAGAATCATAAAAATACAGCCAGAGCTCCAATACAACGGTTTAGATCAGTCAGTAATAAGAACCAGTTAAAGTCCAGAAAACTGTGGCCAGAAGCAACTCCTATCTGATTATCAATCATTATTGAGCAAATATATTTGTTCTCTTGATGTTAAAAGCTGATAAACAACAGAATATATGTATAAATATTGGTATATTGAGGAGAAATATTAGACTTTGTTGGTCAACTGTATGAAACCTCGAACTCAACGCTATTCCTGACATATTGAATTGAAAAAGCTTCCCGGATCAGAAGCGAAACGTCTTCAAACTTGGAAACCAAGTACAGTGGATTGTTTTTAATTGTTTTGGAAGGAGGAATATTAAAAATGTGCATCTGTAAAGACACATTTGAAAGGTAGTGTACAGAGTCTCTGTATTAGATTTCAGACTTTATTTTAAATGAGAGTCTCACTAAAGGACAGAAGCATGACCCTTGCCCCTAGAACATGCGTGTGTGTGTTAACCTGTGCAAGTACCTGAGGCAGCGCCAGTAAGTAGGACAGAGCCAGCATCATGTCTCTGGGAAATGCATCGTTGGCCAGCTGCAGCAAAACTGTAAATTGTGAAGTGAAGCAGGGGAGGAAGGAGAAGAAAAGACTTTAAATGAGAAGCTAACTTCATCAAGCACTTGTTCATATCGGCAAATAAAAATAAAATGTCCTTTTCATTTCCTTGTCCTGCCCCAAACCTAATGACCACCTTTGCAACTGATTATGGCAACAAGCACCAGTTACATGTCTGAGATAACTGGCAATGTGTCTTTGGATCGCTGTGCAGGACTGTTGTAATTCAGCCATACTGGAAGGCTTTCAGGCAGGAACAGTCTGTTTAAGGTCATTCAACAATATCTTAATAAGATATGTGGATCAAGGCCCAGACCACAAAACCATATTTGACTCTTAGATATTTATTTGCAGGGATGATGTTAGTTCTGGACCAAATGCAACTTAAAAACGTCCCTACATCTTAAAAATGTTGAAAAGATGACAAATTAAGGCAAATCAGTTCTGGTTAGTTTGGTAAGCCTATTTCCCTTATTACATCAGATCAGCCTCTGAAAAAAAGGTTTTTACATTTAGCAAACACATTTTCTTTGATATTAACTATTGAATGATCTCAGAATAAAACAATATTTCAAAATAATCAATCATCTTTATATTGGCTTTAAACTTATTATATCACCGGGTAACCAGAAGGTCAAAAGGGTGCAACACTAAAACAACTGTCTGATTCTATGTCTTAGCATGTCAACAACACAAAACTCAAAGAATTTGATTTTAAAATAGAAAGTAAAAAAGAAAACTAATATCTCCTTTAAAATGCCTAGCAAAAAGAGAGGGTAATCACAAAGTAAACAAAACATGTCTGCCATTCTTCCAGTTTACCACTGCACATAAATATAAACAACTCTTGACACACAAATGCGCTTAATTAATCACTCCAGAACTGATTCACAAACAAAGGAAACAGTAGGAGTGAACAGAGAGAAGCAGACAAAATCCCTTTGTAGTCCACAAAGACGAAGAGCCTTGTGTTTGTGATAAGAGCAGGAGACTAACTGGAACAGACAGAAGAAAGCAGAGCATGGACACTGGCTGAGAGACAGGTTCAGGGGCAAAGGAAGACACATGCTCTGAAGAACAAAATACACACCGCTGTGCATGTGTGCATTCATACAGAAGCGTTCAGGGGCTGACATGTTCAGCTGAAACCCCTCTGTGCGAGTGTGTGTGTGCAGGGGCGGAGGACGCTTAAAGAGCCATAACAGCTCTCTTAAGAAGTGAGCCCACCCTCCTCCTTTAACTCACTCTTCTCCTCTTCAACCCCCTGGGTTTCAATGAGCTACACCTCAGAATGAGCTGATTACACGCCTCTCTAAAGTTACAGATACCATCGGGACAGGAATTACCAGAGGGGTAAACACACACTCACTCTCTCTAAAAGTAGATAACCCTGACTTTAAGCATGCAATATTTCTGCTTGAGAGAGAGATGAAGGGGAAAGCTGATAAAGAGATACCTTACAGAGAAGAGGGGGGCATGGGACAAGGCTGGTACAATGCACACATCCATTTGGATATCTATGTCAGCTAAACGTGGCACGTATAGCTGAAAAATAAGTGATCAGAACCTGCTCACAAATCAGCAGGAACGTGTTAAAGCTCAGTGTGTAGTTCAAAGTGTGCATCTTCGTGTCTGTTCGCATGAAGGACTTGTGTGTTGGCACCTCAATTTCATTGAGTCCATTTTCATCCATGTCATTAATTGCCTCCACCTTATCAGGGGGCAGGTGGAAAATCGGTGCATTTGTTTTCTTAAAAGCCTTAATTTTTGAGGACAGCCTGCTGGCAGTCATTAATCGAAGCTTGTTATCAGGGACGATGTCGTCCAGAGGGGAATTTCTCTTGCGCAACACGTCGTGCTTCACGACCAACTCCGATGGGAAGGTGACTTTTATATGTATTTGAAAGACAGAGGAACCATGAGATAGGATTAGCTTGGTTATGGCTAAGCCTGTGTGTTTGTAAAGCAGGTATGTGAACACAGACAGCCACTCTTTGGCCAGAGATCGTTATTCATACACACATGTTTGCTCTCTACTTTTGTTGTCGTATTGATTTTGTGGAGCAGCTGTGATCCATCATACAGCGAGGCCTTGATGTTTGGACATGATACTACCTCTCTGGTACCACTGCAGTGATCCATCATTAATTACCGTTGCCATGAGACGAGTGAGGATACATTAATTAGCAGTATGAGCCTATTCTTCCCCTGTTATCCCTAACTCCAACACACATGGGCTCCATGGCTAAGATGGATGAGATGAGTCGGGGGCAGGGTGTGAGGAAGAGGGCCGACCATGCTGCAATCTTTGCAAATGTTACATCTTGAACTGTGAGATAAAGCAATGAAAAATTGTTTAAGTTAAACAATACTGACTCTGTTTACCCACAAGCACCTAATCTCCCTCAAACAACCAAGAGATTCTGCAAATTTCATGAAGTTACATTTAAGACCAATTTAAGACAACTGAGAGTTGATTTTAAACCCTTTAGCCCTTAATTATTTATACTTTTGGGGGATTTAAATAGAAAATAATCTTAACTTGACAAAAATGTTTTTTTCTGACTAGAAACGATATGTGTGATATACACTATATTGCCAAAAGTATTTGCTCACCTGCCTTGACTCACATATGAGCTTAAGTGACATCCCGTTCCTAATCCATAGGGTTCAATATGACGTCGGTCCACCCTTTGCAGCTAGAACAGCTTCAACTCTTCTGGGAAGGCTGTCCACAAGGTTTAGGAGTGTGTTTATGGGAATTTTTGACCATTCTTCCAGAAGCGCATTTGTGAGGTCGCACACTGATGTTGGACGAGAAGGCCTGGCTCTCAGTCTCCGCTCTAATTCATCCCAAAGGTGTTCTATCGGGTTGAGGTCAGGACTCTGTGCAGGCCAGTCAAGTTCATCCACACCAGACTCTGTCATCCATGTCTTTATGGACCTTGCTTTGTGCACTGGTGCACAGTCATGTTGGAAGAGGAAGGGGCCAGCTCCAAACTGTTCCCACAAAGTTGGGAGCATGGAATTGTCCAAAATGTCTTGGTATGCTGAAGCATTCAGAGTTCCTTTCACTGGAACTAAGGGGCCAAGCCCAGCTCCTGAAAAACAACCCCACACCATAATCCCCCCTCCACCAAACTTTACACTTGGCACAATGCAGTCAGACAAGTACCGTTCTCCTGGCAACCGCCAAACCCAGACCCGTCCATCAGATTGCCAGATGGAGAAGCGCGATTCGTCACTCCAGAGAACGCGTCTCCACTGCTCTAGAGTCCAGTGGCGGCGTGCTTTACACCACCGCATCCGACGCTTTGCATTGCACTTGGTGATGTATGGCTTGGATGCAGCTGCTCGACCATGGAAACCCATTCCATGAAGCTCTCTGCGCACTGTTCTTGAGCTAATCTGAAGGCCACATGAAGTTTGGAGGTCTGTAGTGATTGACTCTGCAGAAAGTTGGCGACCTCTTCGCACTATGCGCTTCAGCATCCGCTGACCCCGCTCCGTCAGTTTACGTGGCCTACCACTTCGTGGCTGAGTTGCTGTCGTTCCCAAACACTTCCATTTTCTTATAATACAGCTGACAGTTGACTGTGGAATATTTAGGAGCGAGGAAATTTCACGACTGGATTTGTTGCACAGGTGGCATCCTATCACAGTTCCACGCTGGAATTCACTGAGCTCCTGAGAGCGACCCATTCTTTCACAAATGTTTGTAAAAACAGTCTGCATGCCTAGGTGCTTGAATTTATACACCTGTGGCCATGGAAGTGATTGGAACACCTGATTCCAATAATTTGGATGGGTGAGCAAATACTTTTGGCAATATAGTGTATGTTTGTCAAAGTATGACACGCTCAGGCAGAAAACAGAAGGAGGTTTGTTGCCAGTTACAACTAAACAAAACACCTATGGAAGATCTATGGTTGCTCAGTGTGGCTCCAATTTAGAAAAAGCTAAATGATGGTTTGTTTTTGCCAAGTTTGTTGCAATAGGTGATAAGCTTTATGTGGGCAATACTTTCCCCAAACAAGCCCAGTTTGGGTATAGACCGTTTCTTTCCTTAAATAAATTATTTCAAAACTGCATTTTTTTATTTCACAAATAAATTATGACATTTACTATGAAATATTTCAAAATAATTATATATACTTATACATACACAGCAATATAAATATAGATTTTTAGTCTGCTTTAGAGCTCATCATAGCACTAAAACAGCTCTAGTGAAAGTCACTAATGATATTTTCATGGCCTCAGATAATGGACTTGTATCTGTGCTCGTCCTGCTGGATCTCCGTGCTGCAATCGATCCAGTTGATCAAAGTTTTCTTTTAGAAGGACTTGAATATTATGTTGGAATTAAAGGGTATTGTCCAAAAAACAATGTTATGCTACAGTACACCAACACTTGTCGTGCACTCGGACCAAGAGGAAAACCACATGTGTCACTAAATGTGGTCTGTTATTGGACGGTCACAGTGCTTCTGAAGTTCTATGTCTCTGTGTCCTCATGGCCTTGGAGAAGAACGTGGGTCTGCAAACAGGCGGTGAGGGAATCTGCTACTTTAAGTTGTGCATTTGTTCTTTACTTTTGTAATGTAATCTAGGAGCATTTTAATATCAGATTTATTATTTACATGAATATTTGAATTGGTCTCATGTGCGTGCAGGTGTTTGTCTGTTTAGTTATTAGAGTCTCAGCCAGGATGTCTGAAAAACAGATGTAAGAATGAAAGTGTAAGTTACATTCAAAGAACGGTGTAACGTCCCTGCTAAAACCCCTTCACTGCATCCATAAAGCAGCAGATCCACTTCAAGATACTCCTCTGAATAAGAAAGCTTTCAAGAACCTATTTGTTTTTATTAAACAAATGAATTTGTGTACCCCAAATTGTCCAGTTGTTCATGTCATGCATCCATACATTTTATGAGGAGACGGATAGCAGGGATGCAAGAGAAAAAGGAGGAAACAAACAAAGAAGTACTACTAGAAAAAGCGTTTAACTTGTATATGAGTTATATTAAAAATACTTGTGTCCATCCCCACTTCTGAAATAAAAAAATTAATCCATGTATATACGTAAGCTTAAATATGCTAGACCTAAACTTGGAAGAAGGATTTGCTGGACAGTTGGAAGAGACTTCTGCAAATCAAAGAGGCTTGATACTGAATATAATTTACATATGAATGGTTTGGGTTTAGTAGAGGCATAACTATAAGAAGAAAAAAAACTCCAAAAAATGGCCAAACAGAAGCTGTTTATAAGTTCACCATTTGGAAATTAGTCATTCCACCATGGACTCTGGTCCTCCCTGCTTACCTTCTGTTGCAGGAAACAAGGTTTTTCCTTCTGTTTTGGCCTCAGCCAACTTCCCAGTCCTCAGCAAAACCTCTGCGAAGTTCTCCTGAGGCATTTCTTTGCAGGATGAGTAAACATCTTGACTCTAAGAGACAAGAGAGGAGAGAGTGATGAAGTATGTAGGGTTATAGCAAGTAAATCCTTGCAGATGGCTAGACTAGAAAAGAAAATATGGAAATGTGATTAAGATGACTGAACATCTTCACTCCCTCTGAGTTAAGACAGATGAGAGATGAAGCAGAGAAATCAACATTAGAGCTGAACAAAAATTCCTATCCAGAAGGCCTTATGATAGCTTTATAGGATTTCTGTGTGGCAAGCTGTTTCTCAAGTGTCTCAGTAGTGAACAATGAAGTTTCTCCTCCCACTGCCTCCGAGCAATCGCTATTATACTGAACGCTTCCTGTCCGTCTTTAACACTCTATTCATCTTTCTGTCTATGTGCATTTGTCTCTTTCTCCCTCAATCAGCCTCTTTCCTTACGCTTTTAGATTTCAATACAAGTTGTATGGTAAAAGAAATGACCATATTGATCAGTCAGAGAGATGGACATAGGGAGCAATTATTGTTAGATGGATGATAGAAGATGGATCACATTGTAGATGAAGTGAAAGAAGGGATTTGGAGAGGCCTATTAAAGTGTCATGAGAGGTGATGTATCCGTCTTTGCCGTTTCTCCTCATGTCCACTTATCCATATGATTTGTGTCTGTGAGTAAAAAACACTGCCATAGCCCAGGGCGACCATTTTCTAAGGATAGAGGTCAGCTTACTTTTCCACTTTTCTATTCCCATAAGTCCTTCAACATTCTTTTTATATGGATTTTTTTCATTCACCTTTCCTCTTCTGGTTAATATGCAGTGCAGTTCAGCTTTTTTATCTTTAAGTCATCTTGAATTTTGCTGACTAACATAATATCCATCTTAAAAATAAGCTGCTTCCCCTTATGTTAGTGCTTCCAAAGTGCTTTTGGCATCATAATTACTTAGAGCGAAATCAATATTCATTTTGTCTCAACACAGTTTGTGAAAGAATGTATAACTCATGATGGAGAAAAGAAATCAAATTAAACGCCCTGAGTCAGAAGTCCACTCAAGCATATTTTTTTTTTTTTGCAATTTGAGAATATGGCCTGCAGTGGAAAATCATGAGTCATGGCCACTCACCAGGTCTACATAGGGATCCTCAATGAGCTCCTGATAGAAAGGGCTGCAGCCTTGGCGCTCCAGGTTGGAGTTTTCATACAGCCCTTCCTTGTCAGCAGCTCCTGCACCATGACCCTGAAGAACCATCAAAACATCATTAAACTTTTAGAGCAGGTCCACAGCACAGTCATCCAGCACCGTCACAGCTCATGTCCAAGCATTTTTTTTATTTTTTAGAGGATTGTGGCCACATGGGCACCATACACCCCCAGCTACCCAAATGGCATTCTGTTCCACAGAACAGCAAGATTATGAATATTTGATAGAAGAGTCAATATTTCACTACAGATAAACTACTTTTGTTTTTGGTGTTTAATGGTTTTAAAGGAGCACTGACTAAAAAAGAAGTGAAAGTTTGTGTCTGCACCTTTAAAATGTTTACATTACAGACCAGTTCATTCAATAATGAAAAAGTGTTGATACCTGAAGGGGACGGAGGTAATTGAGGGACTCCTTCCACCAACGGTGGTCACTGACCGCAGTCAGCACAGCTTTGGTGGTCAATCCTGTAGAGGTCAGCACCTCCATGGTCTTCGCTGTTGTTCTGTGGAGAAGGTCTCCAGCTGAGCCGGCCTGCAGCCAAAAGGTAAACAAGAGAAAGCAAAGGTGTAGAAGAGAATTTCTCCAATGATAAGAAGGGCTTAATGATTAAGAATCACTTTGCATGAGAGAATGAGCTTTTGATACTACTGACTTTGGTTTTCAAACTCATAAAATCAGAGTTTTTTCCTGCTGCTGAGGTGGGCATGACTCAAGAGAAAATCTAAACTCCACAAAAGCTTTTATACAAATAAAAATGCCTTCTTAATCATGAATTAATTAGCATACACCACATGTTCTGACTATTGTTACTTTTGACAACCAGGCCAGATTACACCCTGACCTACAAAAGCCAATGAAATGGGCTAAAAAGAACCTGTCTTACAACATGAAGTAGGCAAACATTTCTTAAACAGAGTTGTATGGCCTGTTCAGATAAGAAACTAACTTAGACACACAATAGTCAGGAAATCTGACTGAGATGCCATGGGGAGACCTTAAACAACTTTTTCTTCTGATAAACCATCTGATGCTGATGTAATGAAAGAATTTGCAGCCTGAATATAAAGGAACTGTTTTAAAAAAAATAGTCGACTATCCTGAAATATAATAAGTGCAGCAAGGATACATCTCAAATATGATATACGTCTAAACAAAATGAACTGTATTTATGTATATTTCAGACTATTGATCCAAATGCAATGTTTAGTTTCACTTTTCTGTGTTATGCCCACATGTTCTTATAGCCCCATTTAGACTGGCAGTGGGCCGGATTGAAATATTTTTGTCCCCTTGTCTATATTTTGTTTAGCAAGTACAAGAACAAAGTTTTAATAATCTAAACAGACATCCTCAGGTCAAGTGAAAAACTGTGACATCAGTGCAACAATAAAATGACAATAGAAAGCTTCAGAAGTTTTCCCATCATCACATAAAATGAGCATGCAGTTCAAGTCATGAAACATTAACACCCACTCAAGGCATTGTAAAGATAGGAGTTCTGAAAAGAAGAAGAAAGGGACATAAATTAACCAAGGGACCTAAGCAGACCTTAACATTGGGTTTAAAACTCATCAAATATTAAGAAGCAGGAAAACACACACACCTAACAAAAGGTAAAAAATATAGTTCGACTGGGTATACTCAAGCAACCGACTCAGACAGGGATTATATCATCACATACGGCAAGATCATTAAAAGAATAAAAAGACTCAAACCTTTAGATTATCTGCCTTTACAACTTCTCGTCTGGTCTCACTATTGGCAGGCTCAATTTGATAATTAACAGCTTGGTATAGCACCTGCAGAATAAACAGCATGGGAAAAATATATAGCTTAAATTAGATCATTTGTAATACTGTATAATCACAATGATTGTCAGTAAATATAATAAAATAAGGATTAGAAACAAGTACAATTACAAATATGCAGCAAAGAGAAAAAAATAGTTTAACTACAAACTACTGAAAGCAGATTGCTGCAGGAGTTAATTGAGGGTAAAATGTGACCAGCTGAACAAATGCAGTTAATGTCTTCACCTGGGTTTGGTAGAAGGGCCACTTCTCAACCACACCTATAATTACTCAGCAGTCTCTTGTATACTCTGCCCTCCTGTTCAGCACTTTCTTCCTTTCGACGACACCTTCAATTAACCTCAAATGTTTATCCCCTTTCCCCTTCACCGCCTTCATTATTCCACATCCTTATCTCCTTCATTTCTTATTCCATCCCAGTGAATCTTTCATTCCTACCTCCTACTTCCTTTATCCCTCAGTCCTACCTTCCTTACCCCTACCTTTATTCCAAAAATCCTTTTTCTTTCTTTCCAACCTCTCATCTCAGTGTCCCTTATCCCCTATTTCTTTCTTTCACCCCAACATCCTTTGTCATTCTCAATCTTCCATCCAAGAACTACCTTCTTCATTGCTTACCCCTACCTTGCCTACCCCATCCTGACGTCCAGTGTTACTCATCCCTACCTACCTCCTTTCAATCCTCTTTCTCACAGTCTTCACACCATCCTCCTTTTAACCTATTAGTGATGGAGACTAAATCTTGGCTCAGAGTATCTTGCTGTAAGTCCCATCAGATCATCCCACCAAATGTCATTAGTCTTCTTTTCTTCTTATTTATTTTTTTATTTCCTTGATGATCTCCTAACAGGACACTAACACTGATTGACCATTTTTTTACTCCTCTTCAATAAGTCTTTGGACGTTAGTGCAGCATTCAAAATTGATTATTTTATTAAAAAGTACTTGGAACATTAGGTCTTACTTTCTGGCACTGAACAGGTTTAAATCTCACTTAATTACATGAGAGACAATGAGGCGTTCCCCCAGGGTCTACCTTAGGGCTCCTCCTATTCAATTTCTATGTGCTTCCCCTGACCAATATCTTATTAAACAACATCAGTTAGCTTAACTATAAGTATGACACCCTATATTACAATGTCATCAGGTGAAAATGAACAAATTCAAGCTGTGGGTACATGCATAGATGGAAATAATGCATGGATTTGCCAAAAAGTCTTTAAAACAAAACTGAAATCCTAATTTTTTGGACCAAAGTGAGAGTATTTAAAAGTTGGCACACAACTTCAGTCATTGCAGCTATAAACCACCATCAGGCTTCCATTCTGGTTGTAGTAATAGACTCAGACCTCTCAGATCAACATAAAGAAGGAAGTCAGCCTTCCATAAGTTAACATCTCCAGCTTAAAGTATTGATCAATGATGTCTACACAGGTCTGCCTAAAAGGTTGATCAGACAGCTGCAGCTGATCCACAATGCTGCTGTCCGTTGTTTTAGTTCTTATGCTTCAAACTGTAAAAGCGTGAAAACCTTCGCAATTTAGATAAACATTAAAAAAGTATTTGTTAAGATTGGCGTCTCACTGTGCTTTCTAAACAAAGTTATGTTTACAGTAACTTTGTGTGCTACTGAAATGTACTTTATAATTAAACTTCATCTGCCTTATCTTTAAAGTGACAATGATGAGAGATATTTCCTATTAGTTAAAGGATACACAGACAAAGCCTTGAAGGCCACGGAGGGAAATGAAAGAATATGATGGTTAAATTCATTATCAGTTACGGAAAATCATGAAAAAATTAGAAGAAAACTTTGCTGCAATATACACTCCAGGAGGAAAGGTGTTTTAATATGAAACTCCTTACACATACCAATAAACTGCAGTGTTTGACAACAAAAGTTAAGCTATCAGTAAAAACCGAGAGGAGAAACAGTGATTCTGATTTGCATATGCAGAAATGTCTGTCAAGCTTTAAAACAAGATTCCATAAACAGCTGACAAACTAACTGCATTCTAGCTGGAGAAAGAAAACATAGACCTCGTCTGTCAAATATAGCTAGTCAACGTGATGCTATATGAATATACAGCTGCCAATATAAGTGGGTCACTGCTGTGCTTATACTGTGACGCCTGCCTAAAGCACCAGGAGGCGTTCTGAAGTGTACAGACCTGTACTTTCAGCTCAGCTCCAACAAAGAAAGGATTTCTTGGGAGAGCGAAAGCCGCTGAACGGTCAAGACAGGTGTCTAACCTGAGCCTAACTGAGCGTGCACTTTTCCTTGCAACCCCCCAAAAATAGAAACAAGACAAACAACTCAGAAAGCCAGTTGCAGATGGTTTTGAAATAGCACATTTCAAAAGTTTAAATAGCTTTTCTGGATGTTTAGGGGCTACTTTTTTGACAAGGCTGGAATCTAAGCAATAAGAAATACTCTAAATAAGGAAAAATAAATGAGTTATTGCAATGTTTGATAAATCTCTGACTGGAGTTGGGTTGCGTAATTATATATCTTAAAGCTTAACTTCCTTTGAGCCAGATGAGAAAAAAACAACAAAAAATATGAACCTTTCATAACTGATTAACTCCAACAAAGTCTCAATGAGATCAAATGAACAGAAGCAGGAATCCAGTTAATATAAATAATAACTTGAAGCTGCAGTTATGAAACAATCAATAACAAAAAAACTTTACCTAAAAACTAAGATAAAGAGAAAGGACAGAAATACTCAAAGTATACTTGCAATACTTAGAATGGATCTGCATCAAAACACAAAGAAAAAATGGTTTAATCTCCTCCTGTGTGGACCAAAGTCTTACATTTTTTTAAACCTTCTGAACACCAATTATTGAGTCAGAGAAGCAAATTGCAGCTGCTTATGATAATTTTGAGATATTTTAAAACACAACTCTATTTTAATAAAATGGTTTTTCCTTCACTGCATAATCATATGCTACTTTGTGCTAATGTATCAAATAAATACTATTATAAAATGAACTTTCTACCTTTGAAAGAGACTTATGATAAAAATATTAAATCAGTAACTATACGTCATTAAGAAGTACAATACTTATTTTATAAGAACATAAACAAAACCTGTGTTTGCAAGTCACTGGAGGCAGCAAGGAGGCTGTGGATGCTGTCTGGGGGACAATGCGTCAAGGCAAAGGCTAACAATTCTTGTCGTGCCTGCAGGTCTCTGTAACCCTCACTCTGACCGAGCAAACTGCACGCCTCCCATGCCGCACTGTAACCTGGGGTAACACAAAATGAGGGGAAAAAGGAAGAGAGATACATTTAGTTGAACCAGTGTAATATCAGATAAAAAAAAACACTCAATGATGGTTTCATTTCTATCTTCATGAACTTCTTCCCATTCAAACAACATATGTCACCTTGACTAGGTTATTGAAAAAACTATGAAACTGTTTTCTCTGCTTTCATAAATATACTCAAGAGTCTGATCTGTTTTTCTGTACCGTCGCCTTATTAGTCAGGAGGGTAAGACTCAAAGAAAGTCTTGTTAAATGAAAACACATTTTTTAAATCTACTAAGAAATGTCAATCCCTGTGAACCTCACTGGTTATTTAAAGTCAGATCAATAATTGCTTTTTTTTAGTGCTGTCAAAATTATCGCGTTATTATCGCGTTAACGCGAGGCCATTTTAACGGCGATAATTTTTTTAACGTGAGATTAACGCTATGTGGTTTTATGGTACAATTTTCCAAGTACATCCCGCTGCAGCCTGCGGGAAGGCGGGGCTATTTTCCCCCAGTCTATGCATTTCTCATAGGCTTCAAGAGCGGAGAGCTCCTCAAGGGAAAAAGACGCTCATACACTGAGTGACGCTAGTGCCTTTTCTTTAAGCCCCACCACCAACAAACAAGTTGAGTGTCTGGTAACTAGTAGCAACCTGAAATACGCTGAGAAAACAGATTACTGAGGGGAAATGGAATCTGCTACGGCACTCTTGCTGTCACAGGTCGGTATCGTGTGTGTGTGTGGGTGGGTGTGTCTGTGTTCTCATTTTTGTTAAGAGTCTGAAAAGTAACTTTCATAGACTACCTCCATCTAGTGATGTCGGTCTATTGATTTTGATGTATTGATTGAAAATTGTTCATTATTATCTTGGTTAATTAACATCTAATGTTAACTGTACTACATTTTATAGCAGTAGGGTAAAATGCTTGTCTTTGTTCAAAAGACTGTATTAACTGTAAAGACTGTCTTTTACATCAGCCTGTTTTCAGGGCCTTTTTTTTGGCTACATATTTGTAATTTTTTGCTACATGCCTCCCCATCTTCTTGCCATATGTTTCTATGGCATAAATCAGTATCTGTGACCTGTTCTCATTTAAAAAAAAGAACATTGGCACAAACCTAGCCTGTATGTATTTTTTGTATGTCATCGAGAGTATTTAAATGATTTTCAATCAGAAAAAAAATTTGCGATTAAAATGCGATTAATCGCGAGTTAACTCAGGCATTGATGCGATTAATCGCGATTAAAAAAATTTAATCGATTGACAGCACTACTTTTTTTCTTTGAGCAGACAGAGAAAAATAACAGCTTTAAATTTTGTTATTTTGAATAAGAGCATAAGAGTGCCATTTCTTAAAAGGAACGGGGGAAAAACGTTAACACTCCTATTAATAAGCTATGAATACCTTAACGTGTAAAAAAAAAAAGCCTATTATGTGTGCAAATGTTTGATTGACACAAAATGCCGATAAACAAGGATTCCTTTCAATTTAACTTTCCTGCTTTTCAAGTCTAACATCCCCAGGTGTTTCATCTGAGTTTGCAAAATGTCTTACAACTAAATACAAATCAATCATACATTAACTATCAGTTTTTTTTTTTACTTAAGTATTTTCCAATATGTAAAACTATAATTAAAACCTTGAGTTAATTTTGCAATGCAACTGGAAGTACATGCCTTGAGGATAAATTACTCTATTATTAAACTAAAGCTCTACCTTTACTTTGTTTGGAAAAGGTGATCTCTAACAGGACACTAACACTGATGAACCATTTTAAGAAAATGTTTCTGATCAAGTTAAACTTTTAAGGACAGAGATATTAAAGTACAGTACTATGTTTGAGTAGTGTGTGACAGAGTAGAGACCTTTAGCAAATTTTAATCATTCTTTAAACATTAGTTTAACACGTGTGGCTTAAGAATCAGAAAATAACATTTTGGAATTAAAAACAAACCAGTGTTAAAAAAAAGGATTATTCTAAAATAAATATATAGATATATACATAAATGAAAAAATCTATGAGTTTAGACCCTAATGTTGAGTGAAAAGCATGGCTCACAGTCTTCACTCCAACTTGGTGAACTTGGTTGTTGCACTGTTGCATACAGTATCCTCCAACAGGAAAATGTCATCATAAAACTGTTTCTACAAAAATAGTGACATAAAATTGACCTATATATATATATATATATATATATATATATATATATATATATATAAAAGACCATTGAGAACTTATTTTAATAGAACTAAGGTCGTTGGCTAGAAAAATAGCTCTTAACCATAATCATCTCCCCCATCAAACCTCAGATCAAACCTCAGAACAATATGGCAAATCCCATTCTCATGGCAACTACAGAATAAAGTCCATCAGAATTCCAGTATGAAGTGATTTGTCTCCAATCTGTGGCGACATAATTTGCACCAGTGCATCTGATTGTTTTTCAGAAAGGTTGAGAATAACATAATTGTTACAATAAACTCAATTAGAAAAGGCTAAATGAGTTTAGGATCTAATTTGTACTTGTTAAAATGTCTAAAATCCAGAGTAGAAAAAAAATAAGCCTGGATTTAGCTCCTCTTTCATAAACATTAATATATTTTTTTTTTTATTCTGAACTCTAGGATTTCCATTCTCGTAAAGAAAGTTGCTGCCATTATAATTACCAGTCAATTTGATATCTACAATGTTTTTTATTTGGTTGTTGTCTTGTCATACAAAATAATATGGCAAAAAAAAAAAAAAAACATTCATTTTTTGGGATCTCTTTAATATTATTTTTTAACTTAAATAGGGAGAGAAACATTACTTTGAAGTGAATGTGTCACGTTTTTTTTTTCAGGTCTCTCTATGCACACTGGCTCACAGTTCTTTTAACTACAAACCTGCAGCCATGAGGTCCTGACAGTGGATGTAAGAAGCTTTGAAGTCCAGGCATTTGAGTGCTTGCTCTGCCAGCAAGGTCAGCACTTGGCCTTTTCGCTTCCCTTCGTCGTCTCCTGAACAAAAAGTATTTATTTAAGGAGGCACAGAAACATGGAACATATTAACACATTAATTTAAATGTTCTTAGGATTTAAAGGTAGTTATATGGTTAGAAAATATGCATAACTGAGGAGGAAGGATTCATTATACTGGATATCTTTATAAAAAATGTAAGTGAGGCTAGAATTTTCAGCAATTCTGAGTCAATATATAGCTGAAAAAAACAAACCATATTTTTCAGGAAAACACAACTCTAAGTTGTATGTACAGAAAATCTGCTTTATTGGCGAACAATGTGAGTGCAAACAATTCAATAGATTCAAGCAGTAACAGCATTCACACAAAGCATAAATATATGTACTTAACAGGAAATAAAGGATAAAGAATATGTACATGTGAATGTACATATATGTGTATGTTGAGCCTTTATTATTTTAAAGAAATTAAGAAAAGAAAGGCAGGTTGTGGTCATCCCGATGTGCTTGTTTCTTTTGCAGCAGAGTAGCTTACTACTCAGGCTTAAAACGTTCTCATTGTTTTAAACAAATTGACAACCTGCAGGGAAGAAGCTCTCACTGTGGTGAACAGATTTAGCAAAAAGCTCCCTGTGGTACCAACTGCAGGTTAAAAGATGAAACAGTTTGTGTCCAGAATGTGAGGGGTTTGCAGAAATGTTAGCTGCCCCTTTCCTGACCGTAGGCAAGTACTGTACAGGTCCTGGATGGAAGAAAATTCAGCCCCAGTGATTCTTTCTGAAGACCTGATTGTTTGTTGTCGTTTGGTGCTGTCCTGCTTTGTGGATGAGCCACAGCACTGTGATGGATTTGCAAAATACATCTGAATAATGGCAGAGCAGAAGATGACAAGCACTTCCTCGGGAAGGGAACTTTAAGATTAGCCGACTGAAGGACCAACACCTGGGAAAGGTTGGTTCCTAGGTACCATAAGTGATCTACAGTAGACAATCAGAGCTCCAGGCAAATGTTTAAATATTTATTAATATATATAGTTGTAGATACTTTTGTATTAATTTACTTACTAATGGTGGCCCAAGTTATGTTCCAATGCTTAGTACGCATCAAGGCAGGTACGGTCAAAGTGCCCGGATGGGTTCTGGCTCTGCGCATTTTATTATGGATGCATCTATGCCTACTTCTGTCAATTCATCCCTTCAGTGTAATTAGGGATATACAATTTTGCAGTCAGTCAGGATGCTATATCACTAAACTACAAAATATTATTTAAGTTTAATATCTTAATAAAGGTGAGAACAAGGTGACATGTTAAGATCAAGGGGAGCCTTTGATTCCTCTGTCAGCAGGATAAACAAATGGGGGGGGGGGGGTGAAAAGGGACATGGACAGAAACGCAGCTCCTGAACAAACTGGATTAAGACACTGGAATGAAGAAATTTGCTGGTCTTCAGCTGTGCTTTATGTGAGTGTGAAGAGTGAGTGACGGTTAGAGATGAGATGTTTACACATAGAGGGTGAGATGTATTTGTCAAATATCTTCTGGATGAATGGTGAGAGGGTGTCTTCAAAGGCTGTCAAGACCTTAATATAGAGGACTGCTTGTATCTGGGCAAAGCAACCATCAGCTTCTGTTGTTTTAAACACAAACTGCTCCTAACATTTGCTTTAAGCTCATCAGAATTAAAAATGTTGATAATCTGATCAATATCTGTTCCTCTCTCACCAACGGACCAATCAAAGGCTGAGATAAAAAGGTTGGGAAATGTTATATAGACAGTCCCCCAAAAAATGCAAATAACAAATAAAAGTCAGAATAATACAGAATGTTTCATTAGTTATTACTGATTCTTTCATATATTCTTTACGGCACATACTGAATGATCTACGAAGCATTTCTGTATTTTTACCTTGTGTGTTGGTGATACCTGCATTAAATATTCACCACAAAGCCCTGGAGCTATGCACCCTTCAAAAGGATCCCTACTGCATTTATTTATTTAAAAAAATGTTTATTCCTCCTCTCATCTCCCTTCTTTTTCCCTCCTCTGAAACCACACAGGGAGAGGTTCCTGCTGACAAACTGTGAGGGGTACAGACACAGAAATGCCACAAGGCCAGTTAGCAGGTTTCCTTTTGCTGATGGCAAGTCTCTGAGCTAGAGGACAGAGGGACAGGCTCACAGGCGCAGGAAAAGTGATAAGACGAAAGCAGGAGGGACAGATACAGCACACAAGAAGAGTCAAAGCTTGTTTTTTGACAGGGAGAACATTTGACTTTGGAGCAACAGAAGGCCGAAACTGTTCTTCCACAGAAGAAAAAAAAAAAAGGGAAAAAAAACACCCTCTGCTATAGGTCCATCAGTAAAGTCAAAGTTTACTTTTTTCCACTCTTGGAATCAAGGTTTCGAGTAGAAAAAGGTTGCAATGCTAACTTCAAGGTTAAATGAAATGGATTTCCACAAATTGCAGTTGAATGCATCTCCCCCTTAATGCATTGAACTGCTGGCATTGCTGGTCGATTTGGTCAGTGCTGCAGTGATAACAGCTCTGCAGCAAACATTTCCACACAAGAAAGTTCAAGACGAATCATAAATTATTTAACTTAAAGGGGGGAATTCCCCTACTGGAATTAAAAGATGAATGCTGATTCAACACCCCAGTGAAGAGTGTTAATGCTATAAAACCTAATAAATGTCAATATGTGAGGATAAAAACAGGCCAAAGCAGATGTAAAAAAAAAAAATTGGATTTTCACAGACCATTTTTACACTGATTTAATGGAAATGACATAATAATGCATGCGATTTCCTGCCAAAGATAAACACACTTTATTTTCAACAGAACACTTAACACTGGAACTGGTTAACAATATAAAAGCGAGAAATAAAAATCAAATTGACTCTCAGTCTCTGTAAACTAAAAATACACTTTTATAAAAACTAAACAAAAGATAAAACCAAAGTGGAAATAAAAACTACATTCAACCAAAAGAGTACAGATGATGAAGTCTGTATATCATTAGATTTTAAAAAAGATAGGCTTTTCAAGTCTATCTTTTTTTAGCAATTAAATGAACTACGCTGTCTGTGAGCGCGCGTCACTTTGCGCCGTCCTTTTTGTATGCTGCCTGTCGATTAATTGCTTCAGTGATGGTGGATTGTCGTCAACTTAAAGACGCAGGCGGGCCACCGCTTGTACTTTTTGTCCCCAGCTGGAGAAACTTTGCTGGGTGGTTGTGCTCTAGGTGCATGTGTAGGTTGGTTGTATTGCTGCTCTTAGTTGCTACCGTTTCATGACAAATGCGACATACTGGCTCGCATAGGTTCAGCGGTTCGCCTCTGTCATTTGGTTTGAATCCGAAATACTCCCACACTGCGGCTGTTGCGTTCGGCTTTCAAACCAGTTCCATTTCGAGTTTTTCCTCCCAACATAAGATGTGTTTTTTTTTGTTTTTTTTCCTCGCTAACTCCTCTAACTCCTCACGGGGCTCTAAAGCCGCAGAAGTACAAAATAATGCGTGCTGACTACGTCCCTGATACGATAGTCTACTCCTCCTCCCTCCTCATTTATTCCCTTGCTAAAAAATGAGGAAGGGGAGAGGTCAGTGGATAGCACTGGAGTAAAGCCTTGTCATCCAGCGTCATCAATAGACAGAGAAAAACACAGGCAGAGACGATATATACCCGATAAATTAAATGACGTGGATAGTTTTTATCTATTGTGCGATTAATTGATTTATTGATTATCGCGACAGGCCTAGGAAGCCATATCTTTGTAGTTTTGTATGTGGGCCTAAAGCCGTTTATAATTCTGGATAAAGGACTTAACTCTGTATGATGTTCTCCAAGAATCGTTATAAGCATCTGCTTTCTTTGTTTTCATGATGTTGCTTGTTCCCTAAGGTTTAGCAAAACACGGAGGTTTTCACAGAACAGCTGTAATTATCCATCATAAAGGTGGCTGTTTAATAGGTACTTTCTGATAGTAATTGATTGAACTGGATATTAAGAGGTATGATAATACAGTATAAGTGCAAGCAACAAGTTTGAGAATTTGATTGGTATGATAAGAAAAAGATGTATGAATAATTCCTCTCAAGTTTGTGGCTTTAACCTGATAAAACATAAAGCTCAAGGTCATTCAAAGAGAAGATTATAATATAATATGCTACAAGGAACTTTCCCCTAACTAAGAGAAAAATCAAGACTTTCTACAAAATAATACCCAAAAGGAAGCAGTTTTAAGCAAACAATCTAAAGCAAAAAATGTTGGTGCAAAGACCTAATCGCATAGATTCCGTCTCTGACAAGCAAAACTGTAAGATGTGAGTGCAGAAAAAGATTTAGAAACCATTTAAGATCAGGTTTATGGAAGCAAATGTTTCTTTTGTAAGGCAGGCTCTGGAATCGATCTTTGCTTAAAAACTGCAGCATTCATCTTGTTCCTCTGTTGTGTTGAAACTATCAGTAGCCTTGCATTAGCACCCATGCATGCATCGTTGTGCATCTAGGTCAGAGTCTCTAGGGGTTCTTCCACATCATTTCAAAAGAAAAATCAGAACAGGGCTGCCTTCTTCCTCAGACTTTACATACCTCCATGACCATCAGTCAACATGATAAAGTTCCAAAAACAAAAGGAAAATTCTTTAGAGGTTATTTTGCATGTACCTGACACCCTGAGAAGTGAGGCCAGATTAAGCAGAGTGGCAGATTGTTTGTAGGCTGTGGAGCACTGGGCGATGCACTCTTCAATAAGAGACAAACGGTTCGATCGCAGCCGCACTGGAGGAGGGAAAGAAAGAAACATAGGAGGTGGTTACAAATTACAACACTTTATCTGAGGCAAGTTACAGTTGCTGATCTGATAAGTGGAAATTATGCCAAATGAATAATGAAGCACCTGCTGTGAACATGTCAGGAAAATAAGGTGGGATATAACAGCAAAAAACAGACAAAAATTCACATAAGGAAAAATCCAAATCATCAATAATAGTGTTTTCTGTATATTGTTGTTTTTTTTCATGACTGTTTGAACAAGGAGACAGAAGACTCCTATTACATGATTTAAATGATAAATTTGAGGCTAACAGCTAATAAATACACACCTACACAAGCCGTACACCAGATATGCTTTCCGAAGCAGATTTTTTTTTAATCTAGAGATAATATATAAAAGACAGGAAAATGGTGTTCTGTTCTTTAAAAGCTCACAGTCTTACAGATAATTAACAAGTGGAAGATAATCCCCTTTTATGCTTTAAAGCAAATGTCCCTCATCTTATCTGATTTTTGTTAAACTAGAATAAGATCACAAAGTTCATGTTGTTAGTTGGTATTTTTAGGAGACAGCAAAGGGTTAAAGCTGCAGGCATCCATGCATTTGATGAATAAAAAACAAATTGCTCCCATCGAGCAAATTCCATCAAGGTAAAAAAAAAGTCAATTTCTATCTCTGTCTCTGTGTTTGGAGCATGTCTAACAGTAATTAAGCTGTTAGAGGAATCCTTGTAATCCTTGTCTTTCAAGATGTTAAACAGGTTAAATAAAATATAAGAAACATATGTTTTATAACCACCCATTTCTTGACAAGTAAGCTTTTTTTCGAGTTCCTTTTAAAACTTTAATTCATATTTCAGCAAAGAATAAATTCCTCATGTTATGTCTAAAAAATAAAAGAAAAAAATTAAACTCTATATTTAATGTTCATTTTCTAGTTTAAATATTTGTATGCACAAGGCACAAGTTGAACTTTACTTAATTCAAGATGCACAAATTCCCCAACTCCATTTGCACATTTCTTCAACCCTGCACCGGAACATAAGAAATGTCAAGTTTAGAAACTCAGCAAGAATTATTTGCTCCCCTCGGAGGATCTTTAAAAGTTGGCATCACTTTGGGCGAGGCCTAGAGGGAATTCTGGGGAGGGGGGGTGTGTACGAGGCATCACCTTAGGCTCTGTAGATCGGCTGCAGGATAAAAAGCTCGAGATGGATTACAAATGTTCAAATGCTTCAGCTTCATACTTTCGTGTGTTTATGTTACAAACCATTGTAATATAGCAGGGAAATGACTTTTACCTTGTGAGAAAAAAATAATTTGCTAATATTTTTGTATTGGTGAGAAGTACAGTGACTCTGTGTCCTTAAACAACCCAAGGGCACAGAGGGGAAAACAGAGCAGTAAAAATGGACCTCAGACAATCACTAATCCACATGCCAAATAAATGATGCTGAGTTTTGTCTTTATTGCAATTGTGTTGTGTTCTACTACAGTGAGGAAAATAAGTATTTGAACAACCTGCTATTTTAATTATATAATTTGTTTTAACTTTTTTTTATGATAGAGCTGCAAAAAATGGATTTGAACACCTGAGAAAATCAATGTTAATATTTGATACAGTAGCCTTTGTTTGCATTTCCACAGGTCAAACTTTCTTGGTTCACACAGATCTTCTCTACATCAGTCAGGTTTCTGGGCTGTTGCTTAGATACACTTAGTTTGAGCTCCCTCCAAAGGTTCTCTATTGCGTTTGGGTCTGGAGACTGGCCATGCCACGACAGAACCTCGATATGCTTCTTCCAGAGCCACTTCTTGGTTATCCTGGCTGTGGGCTTTGAGTCACTGTCATGTCGGAAGACCCAACCTCGACCCATCTGCAATCCTCTAACTCAGGGAAGGAGGTTTTTCCACAAAATCTTGCAATACATGGTCACGGTCATCGTCTCCGTAATACAGTGCAGTCACCCTGTCCTAAGTGCAGAAAAACACCCTGAAACCATGATACTACCACCCCCTTGCTTCACAGTAGAGATAGTGTTCTTGGAATTCTTCTTCCTGCAAACACGGTTAGTGGAATTATGACCAGAAAGTTCTATTTTGGTCTCTCTGACCACATGACTTTCTCCCATGATTCCTCTGGATTATTCAAATGGTCATTGGCAAACTTAGGACCTGCCTTGAAATGTGCTGGTTTAAGCAGGGGAGCCTTCCGTGCCATGTATGATTTCAAACCATGACATTTTAGTTTATTACCAACAGTAACCTTGGAAATAACGGTCCCACATCTTTTCAGGTCATTGACCAGCTCCTCCTGTTTAGTCCTGGGCTGATTTCCCACCTTTATTAGGATCATCGAGACCCCACGAGGTGAGATCTTGCACGGAGCCCCAGTCCGTGGGACTGTTTAGCTTGTGGAGGTGAAAAATTTTGCCTGTAGATTTTTTTTTTGGACAGCTCTTTGGTCTTGGCCATGTTATTAGTTGGATTCCTACTGATTGTATGGGGTGGACAGGTGTCTTACGTAGCTAACAACCTCAGGTGCATCTAATTTAGGATAATAGATGGAGTGGAGGAGGACATTTTGAAGGAAGACTAACAGGTCTTTGAGGGGCAGAATTCTATTTGATAGGTGTTCAAATACTTATTTTCAGCTGTATCACACAGATAAAAAGTTTTAAAAAATCATATATTGTGATTTTTGGGTTTCTTTTAGATTAGTCTCTCACAGTCAACAAGCACCTATGACAATTCCAGCCCCCTACATGTTGTCTAGGTGGAAGAACTTGCAAAATAGCAGGGTTTTTAAATACTTATTTCCCTTACTGTAAGAAGCCTACCAGGTTCTTCTCAAACTCAGCCTTGCTGTTTTAGGTGAAGGAGAGATTACATTAGCCTTCCACTATAGCAATAGTTTAGGAGCCGTAGGAAAGGTTACAACAGCCTCTTTCAATGTTTAGGGTTTAATGCTAATAAGAAGAATAAGAGAAGAAAAAAGCAGGAGAACTTTTGGTTATCAAATTAAGTTAACCTAACCTCAGCTATTTCATCATACATTGTAGTCCTTTATTCAGCAAAAATAGGTCATTCTGTAGTGAATAAAAACGGGCAATAAGAGGAACAGGTGCTGCTCCTATTTACACGATTATCAGAAATTGCGAGCACTTTACTGAAAGAAGCACATTTAGTCTGACAACAGGTCTAAAGCATTTAGCTGTGCTAACAGCTTATAAGGAGGAAAAACATCAGCAAAGGTCCAAATACTGAAAGTAGTGCACTTAATCGGTACAAGTCATTTCATTATCTACAGTGGCTCCCAAATCTACCAACCTCCCTTTGAATATTTTGTCCAGCAACAAACTCAAGCTACAATGTTGCTTATGATTTTATGTGAGAGAAGCACAGTGTAGATCATAATCAAGAAGTGATTAAAAAGAAAAAAAAACAGTACTGATTACAGAAAAAAATACTTCCTTTACAATAATTTTTAGACAAAAAACTAAAACCAAGCATTATTCTTTTTTGCATTTGATTTGTCTGATCGTTTCCCTATAAAATTCAAGTTTGTGGACATAATGTGAAAAACTACCAGGTAGTAAACACACCTCTTTAAATCTCTATTTATAATTCAAACCAACCAGATTTACATTACCAACAGACATGCAGTGCACAGTGACGTGCGGTGAGGTTCATAGCTGGTGAGGCACTGACGTCATCAGAATCAGATTTGCAAATAGATGCATAGATTGACAGCAGTTTACAGGTTATGTTTCACTTCTGCATCCTTACACATACAAACTGTAGCTCACAAAACACACATTTCCTTAAAAAACAAAACAAAATAAATGTTATTACTGTCTTACCTTTACTTATAAATGAATAGAAGTCCTCCTTATCTTCCTTCAGTTTTAAAAGTCTCTCTGTCTCAATGGAGATCACTGCCAGGGAAGAAAGCCTTCCTTGATCCGTCCTGTTCCTGCCTTATGTTTTCAGTCTCTTGAGCACCCCCTGCCATGAGGCAAGAGAACTGCCTGCCTCACCTCGAACTTGTTCTCTGCCGTTTATAATCGCTCATTACACGAAACACGTTACACAAACACAGTTGGTGACAAAAAGCTCTGTACATTATATACATAAGCCAAATTATTAGAAATAAGTTCACATATTACATTTGTTTAAACCATTTTATTGACGCCGTACAGCAACATGCTCTCTCCGCTTTGCAGCCAGCGCAGAGCCAGGGGTTGCGCAATCCAAGGTGAGGCAGAGCTCGCTGCTGCCTCACCGGCATCGCTTCCAAGCATTTGAATGGGAAAATAAGAAAATTCAGCGATTTTGAACAAATAAAAATCGAAATTGGTGAAGCTACATGAAAAATTAATATTTTTTAGTACAAACCACCGGATGAATATAACAATTTAAATTACTTTATGATTATATATTTTCTTTCTTTCCATGATGGCTGGTGAGGCACTGCCTCACCTGCCTCCCCTGACCGCACGTCACTGGCAGTGCAATATACTGCCCAAATCCACACCATCCTGGCTTTGCAGTAACTCATACAGCAATTTATTAACTTAGAGCCTCTTCACTGCCATACATCACAGTGAGTTGCAACAAAGATAGCTGAGCATTTTTCTTTTGAATGCAAAGATAGGGTCACCCATGAAGGCCTCTGTATTCCCCTCTGGAACTAAAAGGGATGCCACTGGCCTGACAAGTGAAGCTTGACTACATTGGGTCATGCAACAGTAATCCTACGCACAGTGGTTGAAGTTCATCAGCCTGAGATGATGAATAAAGATGATGCAGAGACCAGATTTGCTGTGATAGCAAGCTGATGTGTGTGTAAATCAAACACGTTAAAAAGAGTATTAATTCATTAACATCCTGGTTTAGAAAAAAGTCTAAAAATGTTGAGTTCTTGATCTTTAATTATAAATAGTGTTGCACTGACACCAGTATTAGGTGGGGCCCAATACTGCACTAAAATGGTGGTGTTGGTATCGGTGAGTACCAACAAATAGAGCAACGATACCATTTTGAGAGCCAAAAGTTTATTCAACTATTGTCACCCACTCCTGGTAGGCAATAAAAAGTTATATTGGATTCAGTTTGTGTTAGTCTTTTTCCTGCCAGAATGTAGGCAGCAGCTTGACAAAACAATGATGGCAATTATTTTACATCCAAGTAGCATGCAGTTCTTCATATATAAACCACACACATCAATTTCAAACAGATGGTATCGATATGGTATCAGCCGATACTGCACACCCAGGTAGCGGTATCGGGGCCGAAAAATGGAATCGACGCAACACTAATTCTAAACTAGACAGTGTTACTCTGCTTGTATTGCTTTATTTAACTGAAGGGATTCCTTGACAACCTAAAATAACTGGTGCAGAGGGATATACAGATTGATCAGGATCACATCTGAAGCAGGCATTTCAAAAACACTGAGTGAATTTTCCCATAGATATAAGACTTTGATCCTAATTAGGCTGTCAACACCCGCTCCATAAATAACCATACATGTAAATACAGAGGCAGATATAGAGGCAGCATATGGAAGGATGATGCATGAAGGGAGAAAGGTCAACATTTTAGATGGTTTGCAGCTAAGGATGTTTAAAGGAAATGCAAATTGTGTATCACCTTGAAGTGGAAGAATACAAACACTGAAGTCTTCCAGCTGACTGAGAGCATTGATGAGGTCCAGTTCTTCCTGGATGGCTGGAGGACAGTCAGTGATGAGTTGGAGACACGCCCTAAAGAAGACCCCGGCAATTATTAGCATGAAAATTATTTATAATAAATCAGATCACTTAAATGTTCTCCTGCTTTAAAGGCAAAGGATGGCTACGATTTTTAGAATACATAAAAAATAACGCACACATCAGTCTAAAGTAAAGGAGCACAACCCAAAAAAACAAAGCTGCTGTGAAACTAAATGTTTTTTCTGTCTTATTACGTACATTTCTAGGTTTTTCTATATCGTACATTTTATTGTGACATTTAATATTGAGACTTTAGTACAAGCTTTTTTTTATTATCCTTTAAATCATCTTCAAGCTGATTTGCAATATTCTAAAACAGGTTTTAAAGCTTTTTTTTTATTAGCAAGTTTATCTTCCTTCTTAAAACCAGCTCACTACTGGTTGGCCAGTGAAGGTAAGAGGAGTGTTGGTCTACTGGTTAGAGCAGTGCGCTTATGCTCTAAAAAGGTAGCAAGATCCTTAATAATAATAATAATAATAATAATAATAATAATAATGATGATAAATTTTATTAGTTATGCACTTTACATTTAAGAAAAAATCTCAAAGTGCTACAGGTAAAATCATCATAGAAGGGTAAAATCAAAATTTAAAACTGAAAATCGCTTTAAAACACTTATGAATAAGATCAATAGCATAATTGTAAAATGTTAAAAGTCATACGAACTGCTAAAAAGAAATGTTGTTAATCCTTTTTTAACAGTCTGAATAGTCTGTGGTTCCCTCAGATGATCAAGGAGGGCATTTCAGGTGCGAGGAGCGCCAGAGCGGAAGGCACGATCGCCCATGGTGCTTGGCTTAGTCTTGGCGAGGAGGAGGTGGTTTGAGTGTTTTGAGCGGCGGGATCGTGTTGTAGTGAGAGGGGTGACTATGTTCAATAGCCCGAGTATTTATCAGCTAGCATCGGCTTATGATGTGTTAATTTAAGAAAGGAATGGGGGAAAAAGTCAAATGTCCATCATAATAAGCTCTTAAAAAACTGCAACTGAATTTCATGGCATTAATTCTCTGCCAGTCTTCTGCATTAAGATATCGCCAGCCAAGAAATATTAAAGAGTACCTTACTATGACAGCAACAATCAATAGGTTATTACTTTAGAGGCAGCATGAAGAATAAATAACGCTGTTTTTCCTTAGCTCTGTTTTTAACCTATTAAAAAATAACATTTTTTACTCAAGGTTCTCACCATATGAGGACATCATCTGTTTTCTATTCATTTTAACAACAAAAACTGATTAAACCTAAAGAAAAAAAAATTGATTTGCCTCATTTCAGTTACCAGTTAAAAATATTAAGCTTGAAGTTTACGGAGTTCAGCAGTGTGACCAGAGATGTGATGAGGCTTCTAAAATGGATTTCTCTACAAAGTCTAGACTAATTTGATAGATCCACAACAGCGGAGGTTTCTCTTGGAATACAATCCCCACTCATTATCCTTTAGGGGATTATGCAGCACAGCACTCAGAATAGAAAACAGTGTGCTGAATTTCTGAGTGAGAGAGAAAAAAATGTCAGTTTATTTATATAAACTGGCATTTTATTAGTTTATTAAATACATCCAAAGGTCTTCAACACAAAAACACAAGGCAAAGAAATAAATTTAACCTAAATCCCAAAGCTTAAGATACAGATTTTACATCTGCAAACCGCGGAGAGGATTGGTTTGCCCTTGGAATATGTGCCGCACTTCACCCAATAAAGCATAATGAGACCAAAATATCCTAAACAAACACTGCAGCTAAGCATTGAGTAGATTGCACACTCCACAAAGCTTTGCCTGCTCTTTAAGCACGGCAATGATTTTCTGCAAGGAAGAAGAGGTTTGTCCTGGTGAGGATAAGAGGAAGGAAAAAAGCTGCAGATCAGCAAATGGAAAATTCCAAAAAAGTGACATGAAGATTATAAACTCGGGTTGTGAAGGATATGGAAGTGTGTGCACAGCAAAGGCAAAAACAACAGAGATTTTGCTAAATGTATTTGAAAATATTTAACTAATTTAATATTTTCAACTTTATAAAATTTATCTCCGAAACACAGAAACAAGAAGATTTATTTCTTTGCATCAAACAAAGATGTATAATGCTGCATACTTTGGTTTGCATTGTCTTCCAATGTCTTTTATTCCTCTTTTAAGACAAATAAAGAGTTTTCTCAAACGACAGGAACCCTTTGCTGAAACTCCTCTTAATGGTTGTTGAGGCTTCTTGTGCAGCAGGTCTCAACAGCTCTGTCTTTTATCTACAACATAACAGTCATTTGTTTGATCTGTACAATACAGATTAAACAAAATGAAAAAGAACAAGCCATCTTAAAATAAATAGAGAAAGCCTGGTTTCCATCCTGTCATTCAATTTGACATTGAAAAAGGGATTCTTGGTTTTTATCAATAAGACACACAGGGAAGTAAACTCTACCCACACTGATCAAACACATCAAGGGTGTTTTGTTGTGGAGCCAAAACACAGTACAAATGAGATTTTTACATAGTTTCATTAGCTTTTTAATTAATTGCGTTTTAGCTGAAAACTTTAATTGTCCCACAATTAAAAATGAAGCGGTTAATTTTATGATAAAGATTTCTGTCAATCCAAAAACTCCCAAGATATAGAGATATACTTTGGACAGCTTTTTTTTTATCTTAGAGTCACAGGCCATTGTTATCCACACAGTTATTGTGCATGCCTTCTTTATGTCTTTTCTTTATACCAAACAAACACACGTGTGCACAGCAGCACATGCTCACACGGCAGGAAGAGTTACGATGGATGATGCTGTCCGGGTTTGTGGAGGGGGGCCTCCATATTAGTTACTATAAATGAATGACGACCCAATTACTGTCCCACTTCCCCACCAGGAACAGACAGAGAGATTAGACATCCACCGGCCCCCTCTAAGATCTAAATCCAGCAGAGACACAAATACTAAACCTTCAAGTAACACGAAACGGAGAATAAAATGAAAGCAGACAGCGATGCAGTTACTGTTTGTTTTGCTTCTGTTTTTTTGGAGGGGATACAGAAAGAAATTAAAACCATTAATTGTTTCAGCTAGGGCTGAAACAGTTAATCAGATTTATCGATCATTGAAATAATCGATAAATCTGATTAACTGATTTAATTGTTTCAGCTAGATCTGAAACAATTAAATCAGTTATCAGATTTATCAATTATTGAAATAATTGTCAACTAATTTAGTAATCAACTAATCGTTAACTGGAGTATAGAGAGTATAGAGATCGTAAAATATGCCTATAGCTGACAGAGCAACCCACTTAGAGCAATAATTATATCAGAATTGTAAAAATTATTTAAACATCTTGAATTTAAGATAAAAAAATAATAAATTCTTCGGTCAATATGATCTATCCAGTTCACCTGATTTAATTCATTAAAAGTTTTCTTTAAGGAACCTTTGGTTATCAGATTATTAATTGATTAATTGAAAAGAATAATCTACAGATTAATCAATTTGCAAAATAATCTTTAGTTGCAGCCCTACATTCAGCCAAACAGTCAAAATTGCCACAATAAATGTTAACATGAAATGTTAAAATGTATGATTAAATATTTTTAAAAAATGAATCAATTACAAGACACTGTTTGAAACCAAATTTAGTAAAAAAAAAAAAAAAAAAAAAAATATATATATATATATATATATATACACTATATTGCCAAAAGTATTTGCTCACCCATCCAAATTATTGGAATCAGGTGTTCCAATCACTTCCATGGCCACAGGTGTATAAATTCAAGCACCTAGGCATGCAGACTGTTTTTACAAACATTTGTGAAAGAATGGGTCGCTCTCAGGAGCTCAGTGAATTCCAGCGTGGAACTGTGATAGGATGCCACCTGTGCAACAAATCCAGTCGTGAAATTTCCTCGCTCCTAAATATTCCACAGTCAACTGTCAGCTGTATTATAAGAAAATGGAAGTGTTTGGGAACGACAGCAACTCAGCCACGAAGTGGTAGGCCACGTAAACTGACGGAGCGGGGTCAGCGGATGCTGACGCGCATAGTGCGAAGAGGTCGCCAACTTTCTGCAGAGTCAATCACTACAGACCTCCAAACTTCATGTGGCCTTCAGATTAGCTCAAGAACAGTGTGCAGAGAGCTTCATGGAATGGGTTTCCATGGTCGAGCAGCTGCATCCAAGCCATACATCACCAAGTGCAATGCAAAGCGTCGGATGCGGTGGTGTAAAGCACGCCGCCACTGGACTCTAGAGCAGTGGAGACGCGTTCTCTGGAGTGACGAATCGCGCTTCTCCATCTGGCAATCTGATGGACGGGTCTGGGTTTGGCGGTTGCCAGGAGAACGGTACTTGTCTGACTGCATTGTGCCAAGTGTAAAGTTTGTTGGAGGGGGGATTATGGTGTGGGGTTGTTTTTCAGGAGCTGGGCTTGGCCCCTTAGTTCCAGTGAAAGGAACTCTGAATGCTTCAGCATACCAAGACATTTTGGACAATTCCATGCTCCCAACTTTGTGGGAACAGTTTGGAGCTGGCCCCTTCCTCTTCCAACATGACTGTGCACCAGTGCACAAAGCAAGGTCCATAAAGACATGGATGACAGAGTCTGGTGTGGATGAACTTGACTGGCCTGCACAGAGTCCTGACCTCAACCCGATAGAACACCTTTGGGATGAATTAGAGCGGAGACTGAGAGCCAGGCCTTCTCGTCCAACATCAGTGTGCGACCTCACAAATGCGCTTCTGGAAGAATGGTCAAAAATTCCCATAAACACACTCCTAAACCTTGTGGACAGCCTTCCCAGAAGAGTTGAAGCTGTTCTAGCTGCAAAGGGTGGACCGACGTCATATTGAACCCTATGGATTAGGAACGGGATGTCACTTAAGCTCATATGTGAGTCAAGGCAGGTGAGCAAATACTTTTGGCAATATAGTGTATATATATATATATATATATATATATATATACACAGTTATTTCACTTGTTAAAAATGTGGTGAAATACAGTGACTGGGTAACCAGTAGGGGAGGTCTGGTCTCTTTCAGTGTTATTTTGGGGGTCAAAGGCCCTGATACTGCAGAAAACCTTGTTCTAGAGGTCTTAGTAAACAAAAATTACCCTCCCTTCTTTGTGTTGCTGATTTTCCTTCTGAATCTCGTCGTTTTATCCCCCCCCCCGCTTTTTTAAAAGTTGTATCAGTTTAATTATTTCATGGTTCCTGAGCTTCAGTACCCTAAGGCTGCACAGTATTGGAAAAAATAATACAATGGCAATTTCATTAATAATCATTGAAATGACAAAATGAAGTGCTTTCAGCGCTTTCTGTGACCTTTAGCATTTAGATGTGGGCATCTCCAGCATAGAGAATTTTTCTAACCAGCTGGCTATATGGATGACACTTGCAAGATATTAAAATTATTTCTTTTAAAGAAGTCATTTACCATAAAAATGGCACACGCTCGTTTTGTTTTCATAATACATGTCGGATATTGTGTAGCTGTTTAGTGTGCAATGAAAAAATTTAATTAAACCGTCACTAACATCTAATCAATTTTAGGACAATCACTGTGATTAAAACAGCATTGGCCCTGCCAATACTGACAGAAAGGATTTGTCAGATCAATAAATTAATGTCATACAGAAAGCAATCTGTTACATATAAAATGAAGTACTTCTATTAAGATAACAGTTCACTATCACTCCATTTGTTCCATATATTATTAACAAAATTAAGGGACCATATAAAGACTTACTTAATTTAATACATTTTCCCCTTTTTCCTTCATAATAGACTTAGACAACTTTTATTGTTAATTTGAAATTTTGTTTTGTACAGCTCTCATGACATTTCCATTTCTTAAAGTGCAGCAGTGATCAAATGTAAACATTGTGGGAGAAAAAAGGAAAAAAAAGAACATGGTGCATAAATAGTCTTAATTATTTTTTGGAAGACTAAATGCATATGAATTGAACTAGTGTAAAGTAAGACTTGGCAAAAATGGATAAGGAGTAGTCTTGAAGAGGCCATTTTAAATGGAATTACAGCCTGGTATATCTTCCTTACCTGGCCAGCCCCATACAGGGGTCTGTTAGTGTAGTAGAGGAGTTAAAGTACTCCCTGGCAGCAGCTAACACCAACTCCACACTGCTGTCATAGGAAACCTTCAACGCATAACCTTTCCCGCGCAGCGACAAACTGACGGGAACGTCCTGACTGAGCTGGAAACATTAACACAGAAGCAAAGAGATCAATGAGGATGGAAAAATTCTTTATTAACAGATTAATGTTTGTAGAATCTAGTGCTAGTAGTAAGACAGTGTAAAGGAAAGTCCTTTTTAATTTACCTTGGAGCGATGCATAAGCTGTCCTGCTAAGCGTACGTTCTCCACACGATTTGAGCACAGCAGGGACTCGACAAAAACCTGCCACAGGCGGGAAAAATAAGGATAAATGATGTAGAAATAACCCGTGCATTTTTTGAAAGAATGCATGGAATGTTTTTTGTTCAGCATCTTTGAACCACGAGCTAAAACTGAAGCCAAACATAAAACTTTTCATAACTTCTCTATAATGTTTGTGGATACCTGATGGCATGTCTCTGATTTCAGACAAGTGTAAACATTCTGCTGCATATCAAGCAGGTCCTGCAGGAGAGCTCTCCACACCGTCTCACTCACTGGAGGGTTCCTGAATGCAACATAGATATTCAACACACTCTGATACTTATGTCTGCCTTCTTTTTACAATTGCAATTTACTCTGAGCTCATACTTGCGGCCGGTGTGACGGCACAGCTTGACCATTAGTTGATGGGCCTCCTCCTCGCTGTTCTGGCTGTTTCTCACATATGAGATGGGCTTCTGCAGGCCGTGCTTCTCCAGAACTTCTGCCACACTATTAAGCACAAAAATTATGCCAGGTTTATGAAAACTGAAATAACTAGTTTGCAGAGATACACTCAAAAACTTACAGAAATAGTTTGTATTTGGATCACTATTCTGGGCTCAAATTTTGTTAAAACCCTGATGCAACACTGATGGACTTAATACTTGTAGTCAGAGTCTCTTAAACTTTCATTTAGAAGAATACCTAATGAATAAAAATAAATCAAGAAGTTTTAGATGCGTTGGAACAACATTTTCCTACAAGTCGACTTGGTAAAAAACGCAGAAAAGATGGGAGGAAATGTTAGGAGTCACAGTGAGAAAAGCTAAAGTAAATAAAGAAGAAAGATGGCTAAATAAAACCAGCCCTATCCACAGGAGAAACACAGAAGATGGGAGGAATCCAAGCTGTTCATTATTTTGGCAGGACAGAGTCATTTGTAAGACACGGTGCAGATGGAGAAAGCACAGTGCAAGTCAGAAGAACAACATGATAAAGCGCATGTCACAGAGACAGCACCGATTTGTACCTGAGTGTCCCTGTGCAACACACACACTTACAGCTGTTTTATGTGACCAAGGGAGAAGCTGAATGTTGGTGACGGATTAGCGTGCCCCCCTCCCCTCCTTTCTCAACAAGGTCGTGCCGCTACAGATGTTCGATCTCCTCTGCTGCTCATTAACATAGCAAACAGGTGCCTGCAAATGCGTGAGGCCTCTTGCCTGTTATGTGTGCAGGTAAAATGCAAACAGTAAGAGCTGAAGTTTACAACTCTGAGGGTGTATGCACTTGATTTTTCATGGGTGTTTGTCTCTATGTTTCCTCTGGACATCCTAAAGTGGAAGCAAGTGGCAGTGGCAGCAACTTAAGCAAGCCTTTATTATGGTGGTCCTCAGAGAAAAACACTTGGCATTTGCTGAGGTGTGAGTCACAAAACTCAGGCATGGTATGAATATAAATACTCAGCAAGCCATCTGAGGTATGCTTGAATACTGTTTATGCTTGAATATAAACAATATATGGGGTAAACTGAGTCTTAACAGTAGCTTTCCCACATCTACTCTCTTCTCTTCTTATTCATCGCCTTATTTGTTGGGATTCCCTTCAGGCTGCTGCCCTCTTCCTGCCTTCATCTTTATCCTCCATCTCTCACCTTCATCACTAATGTTTTTGGAAGTTCATCCATGGGAGAGAAGCAGAGGAGAAAGAGAAAACCTGCCAAAGAGCCAACGCTTCAGGCTGTTTTAACCCGCTGGGAATGTCAATGATCCTTTGATACGGAGTGAGTGGGTGAGCCGACTGCGCATCTGTGTCTGTCTCTCCTCTTTTTGTTGGGTTTTTCCATCAAGTCAAAATGCAAAATATTTAATTTTCTCACAGTAAACGTTTCCCAAGTGATACGCCACTAATAGTAGAACAGAAAGGCTGCTTTTTAACACCTTGAAGTGTTGTCAAGAGAATTTTATATGACAGCCGCAGCAGATTTTTTGGGATGAAACACCTGAGTAAATCCTGCCTTACTCAAAAAAAACCCAAAAAACTCAAAACGCTAAAGGAAAACAATCTGAGTCAAAAAGAAATTGTTAGTTATTCAGGTGACGTATTTACGTAAGGTCATTCTACATGCTTGTGCCCATTTTCACTTACCGGTGGGTCTGACAAAGTGGCAAAATTGCAAATCTTCTCTTGGAAAGTAAGCTTGTATGAGCGATGCAAACAGCAACTTTTAACCGGAGTTTGCACGACAAGAAATGTGTTCGTGCATGCTCTCGTAAACCTTTAATAGGCATTCCCTCTTGTGAGCAGGTACAGGATTATGCACATGCATTTTGTGAAAAATAAAAAAATTCGCAAAAATCCTCCACTATACCTTTAAGAGGCAGAAAACAAGCAATAAAAAAAAAATCATAATCAGCCAATAGTTGTTTTGTTTTTTGAGACAATAGGTACAGTAAGCACACTCGGTGAAAGGATCACCATTGCCATACCAACTAAACCACAGCCATTTTCTATCAAGATTTTTTGCTGTTTATAGCATTTAAACCTTTGCAGCAAAAAAATGACAGCTGATCCTATGGATTGTGTTAATAAATCCAATTAAAAGCCACTATCTTTGGGGTTTTTCACTCACTTAAAACAATATTAGATTATTTCATTCTCAGAGCGAAATGAACAAACCATATTGGTCTACAAACTATATTTTTTGGAACAAACTATACTTTACAATACCACATGGGTTCATCAGCTCAAAATAACTTTTTTGGCCAAACAAAATTTTTATGACAGCTAACTTTAAGCAAACTCAAGTGTTTGAGCCATGTGACCAACTATGTCCTGGAAATAACATGTACACATACATTATGGTTAGGGTTGGGAATTGAAAAGATTTTCACGATTCCGATTCCCTTTTCGATTCTATGAAACGATTCGATTCTTTATCGATTCTTTTTTCGATTCCAATTTGGGGGAAAAAGGAGAACAAACAGTTTGATTATCAGCATCAACTTTGTTTACTTAACTATTGCACAATCTTACAAAATCAACAAGATCAAGATGTCCACAGGAAATGACTTTGATTCACAAAGTGACCGCAGCTCGTTGTCTTCCTCCTCGAATAGTTCTTCCAACTTGCGTAACTTGCGTAAGTTGCGTAACTTGCGTAAAAAACGTGACGTAAGTCGTGCTCCCCAGAGCCGGCGCTCTAGGCTCTGGTGCTGCGGGAATCGAAAAAGAATCGTTCAGCGAGCTGCCAAACGATGCCATGGAATCGGAAAATAGGGAACCGGTTCTTAACAGGAACCGGTTTTCGATTCCCATCCCTAATTAAGGTTGTAAAATGAACCCCTTATTAGTTAAAGATGATTTAATTATTTATAACAAATTCAGAATTTGGGGTGTTTTCATTTTCTATCACTGTGTTTTACCTTACATTCAACAGAGGCTATTTCTACCTACTGGAAATTAAAAATAGAGGTAATTTGATATACACTATATTGCCAAAAGTATTTGCTCACCTGCCTTGACTCACATATGAGCTTAAGTGACATCCCGTTCCTAATCCATAGGGTTCAATATGACATCGGTCCACCCTTTGCAGCTAGAACAGCTTCAACTCTTCTGGGAAGGCTGTCCACAAGGTTTAGGAGTGTGTTTATGGGAATTTTTGACCATTCTTCCAGAAGCGCATTTGTGAGGTTGCACACTGATGTTGGACGAGAAGGCCTGGCTCTCAGTCTCCGCTCTAATTCATCCCAAAGGTGTTCTATCGGGTTGAGGTCAGGACTCTGTGCAGGCCAGTCAAGTTCATCCACACCAGACTCTGTCATCCATGTCTTTATGGACCTTGCTTTGTGCACTGGTGCACAGTCATGTTGGAAGAGGAAGGGGCCAGCTCCAAACTGTTCCCACAAAGTTGGGAGCATGGAATTGTCCAAAATGTCTTGGTATGCTGAAGCATTCAGAGTTCCTTTCACTGGAACTAAGGGGCCAAGCCCAGCTCCTGAAAAACAACCCCACACCATAATCCCCCCTCCACCAAACTTTACACTTGGCACAATGCAGTCAGACAAGTACCGTTCTCCTGGCAACCGCCAAACCCAGACCCGTCCATCAGATTGCCAGATGGAGAAGCGCGATTCGTCACTCCAGAGAACGCGTCTCCACTGCTCTAGAGTCCAGTGGCGGCGTGCTTTACACCACCGCATCCGACGCTTTGCATTGCACTTGGTGATGTATGGCTTGGATGCAGCTGCTCGACCATGGAAACCCATTCCATGAAGCTCTCTGCGCACTGTTCTTGAGCTAATCTGAAGGCCACATGAAGTTTGGAGGTCTGTAGTGATTGACTCTGCAGAAAGTTGGCGACCTCTTCGCACTATGCGCGTCAGCATCCGCTGACCCCGCTCCGTCAGTTTACGTGGCCTACCACTTCGTGGCTGAGTTGCTGTCGTTCCCAAACACTTCCATTTTCTTATAATACAGCTGACAGTTGACTGTGGAATATTTAGGAGCGAGGAAATTTCACGACTGGATTTGTTGCACAGGTGGCATCCTATCACAGTTCCACGCTGGAATTCACTGAGCTCCTGAGAGCGACCCATTCTTTCACAAATGTTTGTAAAAACAGTCTGCATGCCTAGGTGCTTGAATTTATACACCTGTGGCCATGGAAGTGATTGGAACACCTGATTCCAATAATTTGGATGGGTGAGCAAATACTTTTGGCAATATAGTGTATCTTAACTGAGTTTGGTGTTCTGCAGGTAACATTTTTGGCTGCATTCTGGGCTTCCTTTTGCTAAACTGTTTATATTCTCCCTGATCCCAGACATTCCAATGAATATAACTACCATGATTTCAAAGCTTAAAACAGCTGAAAAAAGGGGTTAAAAAATGCTTAAATTTGAACCCTTGAAAAAGACAGACACACTAAGCATTGAATTAATCAGAATAAATGGAAAACCATCCAAAATAATAGATAAATGTACCTTAGATGCTTCTCCAGTTTGTCCACCTTGTCATGGAGTGATGCTGTGATGTTCGTCTCTGGTCTACAAAGTGATAAGACATTTAAGAGAAAGGTATTTTAGTGAATAAAGTAAATTTCAAATAAACAGTAGGCTAATATTTGCTGAATAAAGAGGTACACGTTCAAGTGTACAGCTTCCATCGATTGCCAACTAAAAATACGCCCGTGATGCTTTTGCCTTGAGGCAAAAAATCATTCTGGACCAGGTTGGCCTGGTCCCCTACATAGAACTGGGCATTATTAAAAAACATGTGTAAATGTGTGTGCCAGTGTCTCTGTAACCTACCACACAAACAAAATCTTGACATTTTAACCCATTTCTCTGCTTCATTCTTCTCAGCTCTGACTTTTAGCTCTGCACGTCTAACCCCGGCTCCTTTTAATGCCTTTTTGCTGCCATTTCTCCATGTGAATCACTAATGTCTTGTTCATTTCGACATTTTACACCATATAAAAGCAAGGGAAAATTACCTACTTAGAAGATTTAGACCTCTTTAGGCAGTGTCACAAACTAGAAAAACTGAGTTGGAGCAGATGGTCTCCTTCCTTATTCAAAACGGTACATCATTCTATGTGGGGCAGGAAGCTTTGGAGCTTAATAAGACAAATTCCTCCCAGGAGAAATATATATGGTTGGGGTAATAAAAAAATACAGTTCTAATGTAAAAGCAGCAGACGATACAACAATAAAGGAACAAAGCATTTCCTCTGTTAAAAAATACTTATTTGCAGGTTTTTAACCGTAAACGGGAGCTAAAGAGAGACTGTAAAATCTAGTACTACAAAAACACATTTCCTATTATTATTAACATCCTGATTACAAAAATTCTAATATATCCCAAGTTATATTAAACATAAACATCATATACTGCTTAAGATGCTCAAAAAAAATGATGATTTTTCTATGCATTATCTAGTACTAAATGCTGAATTAAATGATGGTTTTAATTTAGGTCTTTTTTTTTCTTTTTTTTCTTTTTTTTTACAGAGACTGAAGTCATGGCTAAAGAAATACAGCTAAATAGTGAACTCTGCCAAATGCAGTTTAGATTTGGAATTCTTTGCTGATTTTGGTTCCAAAGTTCTGGCACTGCCAATTAGCCTGTTCTAAGTATTATTGTGTGTTAGAGCGAGTTTGCAGAGGAAACTGGCATGCTGAATCACATTTGCACAGGCGACTGATTCATGTGACGCTAATCCTGGTTAATTTTGGGATTCCAGATTTTAGCAGAAGCTCTTGGACTGAGTTACAGCTTCTGGTCCAAGTCATCTGCTTTTACAAGCTAAGATTCAATATTAAAGGGCTAATTCTGGCTACCAGAGTAAACACCAATGTAAGGAAGCCAATAATTGATGTGGCAGAAAACTATCAAATATATCCAGTGCTTTACATACCATCCATAACTCTTGGAGAGCTCATGTCTTTTCATATTTTCATAATCATGTAATAAAATATCACAAAGTGGAGCATACTTATAAAGAGGTGCGGAAAAAATTACTTGTTTTCAACGTTTTCACAAAAAACAAACATGAAAGTGTGTATTGTATTTCTAAGCAATACATGAATCTTGCCTCAATGCATTGAGCCCCTGTGGCGAGTGTGCAATAGAAAAGCATACAATCACAGCATGAAGTGCTACAGTGCAGCTAAATTAAGATTAATAAAAAGATAAAAATGTGCAATTGATGAAAGTTAAGATTACCTACACAGCCACCTGATTATTGTCACAATGGGAAATTATTTCCACAATTAAGGTTGATGTTATGAACAATTTCATTTGATTTTAGCTATTCTAAGAGAGGCCACATCTGCAATTTATGAATGACTTTCTTGATTTTCTCTCTAAAGATCAAACACTCTCCTTTAAATGTGTTGCAAACCCACACAGTCTCATGGGAACCTCACAGGGTAGGCCCTCGTGTCATATGAAATGAAATGAGCAACTGTAGAGGCGTACAGAGAGAAAGAGCAAGCAACAGGAAAAGGGTAGGAAATAATATTCGGGCTGTAGCATGGTTGAATGATGGCTCTTTGGAGTGCAAGTTAGACTTATAAGGGGAAGGAGGAGGAAAATATAGGCTCTAAGGGATGGGAAACAGAAACAGAGGAGGTACTTGGGTTTATTTATAGGTCCAAGGAGAGCTGGGAGACTGAAATGAGAGGAGAGAAGGTCTGGGAATTGGCATTATTGCATTTTTGTGGACAGGGCAGTGATTGACTTCAACATCCTGAAACCATGGTTTACAGAATCTAGATGAGGATCAATCCTGCATTTGCAGGCCAGTAAATATCAATCCAGCTGCCTTTGAATGCGGGTGTATGGCCGTGTTCATACTGTATGTCTGACCCATAGCCCCTTTGGGGTAGACACTCCAGGATGTCGTAACAGAGGCTAAGCTGGTCGTCTCTCTCACAGCTGTAGATGCAGTCCAGGGCGACTTCCATCAGCTGGTCTGGGTCTCCAATGATCTTCTGTTGGCACTAAAGAAGATGACAGAGCACCCTGCATGTCAATCTGCATCAGAACATAATCTTTTAAATGCTATCATCTCAATTTATAGTATAATAATGTTCATAATTTGTATGTTCTGCAATACTATATGATACAGTTTAGCATTTATAATACCAAATTGCCATAAGTAATATGACACAACCCAACCGGTGTGAATGATGGGTTTTAGGAAACTTACGACGGGTTTAGATTGCTGGAAAATGATAAGAGGAACAGTTAGGTCTTGTTGGGCTAGGCCAACAAGGAAGCTGGCAAGTAAAGACTTGGCGGCCCCTTCTCTGTAGGCCTCACAGCGGTGCAGGAATGGGACCATCCACTGGAAGGCATCTTTCACATAGCGTTCAGGATTAGACTGTAAACAGGAAGAAAAAGACAGAGAATGGATCATCTACTAGTGCATAGTAGGTGGAAAAAGATGAAAACTGCACAAATCTATCAAAAAAGGGAACATAAGTTGATGGAAACAAGGTAGAACTTTTCATTTCTTGCTAAAAGAATTGCTCAAGGTTAAGGCTGAGCAATAAATTGATTTTACCCACAATCAAATTTTCTGCTTATAAAGACTTGATTTTTTTATTTTAACTCTTACCACATCTGTTTCAGTGTGATGTTATCCAATCGGTTTTTGTTCTCAACATTTTAAAACTGATCAACAAGCTCAATGGGCAAAACAACATCAGTGAACATTTTTTACTGCGTATTTTCATTGTTAACAGTGATTTTTTTTCCAGCTTATTTATTGTTATTACACTGTCACAAGTACAGAGGAATGAAATTCACCCTCTGCATTTAACCCATCTCCTTGGGAAGCAGTTGGGGAGGAGTGTAGGGTTAGGGGTCTTGCTCAGGGACCCAGAGTGGCAGTCTGTGGGACTGGGGCTTGAACTCAGAACCTCTGGATTCCAAGCATAATGCACTAACCACTAGGTCACCACCTCCCCATAGATAGGGGTCTTATATAAAAAAATGTTTTTTGAAAGTATTCTGGTTACTCAGAATTTTGTCAAAAAAGATAAAATATATAATTCAGGTTTTATTTTTAAGCAATATCGCACAGCAAGGTAAACGAAAAAGCATTTATTCAAAGTTCTTAGAATTTTAGAAATGATCCATTTCTTATATTCAGGCTCGTTCAGCTGCACGTCTCCTCCTCCTGTTCATTATGGTAACATCCGGGTTTCTCACAGAGGATAGTTCTGCATGAGCAGGGCTCCTAATTACACACAATGGTCATAAATTGATTATGTTACCTGCTGAAATGACAGACTGACGGATTGATAGCTAGATCAGTAAGAAAGGCGGAGGTTCTAACAGAAAAGTTGGATGAAATATTTGAGTGATTGATAGAGGAGACCAAAGATGGATAGACAGACAGACGGAAGCACGTAGGCTCGGACGGACAGACCTTGTAGACAGTTGGATAGAGAAAATGGTCCAAACAACAATCCTTATTTCATACTTTATTGAACATATAAAACACTTAAAATAAAGATTTTATTCTTGACCATGCAGGGACCCTGTCAGACATCATCTGTATGTTAGATTCTTTTAATGATAATGAAATATTTAAAGCAGACTGGATGTGATGGAAAAGAAGGTCAGCATTTAAACACTGGTTTGTGTGTACATCAGGGTTTCAGCAGTTTAGTTTCTTTTTTTTGTATATATATTTGTAAAGAGCAGTGCCAGTAACAAAAACTAAAAATACTTTGTTACCTCACTTAAGTAGAAATTTTGGCTAACCATACTTTACTGGAATTATTAGTTTTAGACAACTATTTACTTCTACTCCTTACATTTTAAAAATACACTCATTAATTTTGTTTAAATGAAGATCATTTTTATTATGGCATGTTTGTATTTAATAAACAAAAAACATCAAAATAATTTGTTTAATCCAGACAATTCATTTTTTTCTGGCCGGACTCCTGTACCAACTTGTTGTTCAAAACATACCAAAATAAAAGAGTTTTTCAAGATGAAGCAAAGTCAAATTAAATTTGACACTGTTAACATTAGTAATAAAACTAAGAAAATTTAGTCTAAGGAAGTTATCACTTAGAATTGTAGAAAAACGTTCCTTTAATGGGGTAGTGCAGTTTCTAGTTAACGATTTAAAGCATCTGCATAAAAATTTTTGGCTGCCTTATTTTACTTTTATACTTTAAGTAGTTTTAAAATGCTATCTTTACAGTTTTACTTGAGTGAAAAGCTTAAGCTGATACTCTAACTTCTATAAAAGTGTTTTTAAACAGTAGGATTTCTACTTCAGTAATAAACATTAATACTTTTGACACCTCTGTTTGTACATCATTTAGCATTTTTAATGGCTTTAACAAGAAACAGAGACTAAACCTGAAGTTAAAACTTCTATTTCTGCAGTGTGAGTGGGAGTGCTGGGATTTGCTCTTCAGGGGGCCTTGCACTCCCCTTTAGATAACTCCGACTACCAATGTGCTGAAGGGAATGTATTCACAGCAAATTAAATTAAAAAAAAATAAAATTAGATCACAAACATAACCTTTCACACCCATGCACTTTTTTTTCCTTCTCTGTAGTATGTCTCTGAAAAGAAAGACATCAGACACCAGCAGAGAGGGAGATTTAATCTAGCCAGTTTGGTAAGCAGTTACAAACACACACAAATACTTATACACTCGAGGAGAGCCCAAAGGGAGTTCCAGTCAAACAGCATGTATTAGTGCAGTCAACAACATTTGCTGGCTGCCTGCCTGTGTGGCAGGTCCCTTTGCCAATGGTCCTTACAGGCTAAAGCTGGCAGTTATTAGCCACAATTTACAGGACAGCTCATATCATGTACTCCTGGGGGGCTTATAACTGGAGTACCTGCAATAGAGCTTCTTTCATAGCTCTCTTGGACTGGTTGGAAGGCAGGGTTATTTCATCAAATGTCCTGCACTTCAGGAATTTGTAGCGGTCATTAAATACACTTGAAAAGTCTGAAACTTTTTTTTTTTGTGGTCTTTTTTGAGTTTAACTTTTGATTGCTATTTACATAAAACAATTATAAAATGTTCTCACCTTGGACTAATTTAAAATTATATATATATATATATATATATATATATATATATATATATATATATATATATATATATATATACACCGTATTTTCACGACTATAAGGCGCACATAAACGTCTTTTTTTTTTCTCAAAATGTGCGGTGCGCCCTTTGGTGCGGTGCGCCCTATGTGTGTTGTAACTGCGACTTTTGAGACCACCTCATTGAGGAGATGATGAAAGAGTGGCTGAATGTAAGGAGACCAGGTGTTTTTTTTCCACTCATCACCATCGCTGTTAATATGTGACTCCATGCGTGCCCATCTCACAGCCGATGTGAAAAACATGGGGAAACAAATTAATGCTGTGCTCGCTGTTATTCAACCGCTCGACATCGGTGTGAACCGGACGCAGCAGGCGCAGCAGAAGCAGCGAGTTTACATGCAAAGTCAATTGTTGACGTGCGTATAGGCGCAGCAAAAGGTCCCGCAGCGCATTTTGAGCAGCAGGTGCAGCGAGTCGGGAGCGCGCCGCCAACGCGCTGCTGCTGCTCGAGATGGAAAAATTGAAGTTTTGCTGCTGGAAGCGCCGCATCAAACAATCAGAGAAGCTGATCTGGGAGCTGACAGCGAGACAGACACAGCGCTCTGATGACATATGATATTAAGGCAAATGAAAAAGGCTGGATGGATGAGGAGATGATGAAAGCGTGGCTGAGGCAGGTGTATTTGAGGAGACCAGGTGGTTTGACGAAAAGTGGAAGGCAGCGCCGGGCAAATTACGCCACCGTTTGCGAATGGATTGTAGATGCTTGGACTAAAGTGTCTGCTGGCTCTGTTGTTCAAGCTTTCGCAAAAGCCGGCATTATTTCTGAGGAGCCGCCCGGCACGGAAAGTGACTCTGACAGCGAAGAAGGGGAAATTGGCATGTCTGCTTTAACGCAGCTGTTTAATTCAGAAACAGAGGAGGATGACTTTGATGGGTTTGATTAATACTTTGTAATAAATACTTGAATAAAGCACAATCATACTCAGTTTTGCTCCCACTCTATTTTTCTACCTGAAAACTTAATTCAACAGCAGCCTCTGGGCGGGTCTCCTCCGGGTTCACCCTGGCGGCTGGCAGGTGTTTTTTCATCTAAATAATCTAAATCTTGCAGCTATATTTGCTGTGATCAGTGGGAATAAAGTAGTTTTAATATGTTTGTAAGTGAGAAAGTCCACCTGAAAACTTAATAATTGCAGTCAGTTCATCCAGATTATCTATTTCTGTCGGAGGCGCTCAGACCCCCACATACCAGCGGTGCACCGACAGTAGGAACCCCTTCAACAGCAGCCTCTGGGCTGGGTCGCCTCCGGGTTCACCGCGGCGGCTGGCAGGTGTTTTTCATCTAAATAATTTAAACTGCAGGCAGCAGGATACCGGCAATAAAAGCGAACATATTCCATCGGCAGGTTTCAGGATTTTAAGTTAATTTAGGAGTGATTACAGCGCTCTGTCATCAGCGATGTGTCTGTCTCACGGTCAGCTCCCAGGTTTGATTAATACTTTGTAATAAATACATGAATAAAGCACAGTCATACTCAGTTTTGCTCCCGCTCTATTTTTAAATACGCAGTAGAGCTATTTAAACGTAGTAGAGGACATGTACCTGTATATAAAAAAACGCGCCCTATAGTCCGGTGCACCTTATGTGTGTGTTAAATACAGAAATGGGACAAAGAACTGAGACTGCGCCTTTTAGTACGGTGCGCCTTATGGTCGTGAAAATACGGTATATAAAAATATACAGTACAGTAAAATATTTTAAATTGTATGTCCTAAATCCTCTCTCAGTAAAACGTAAATCTGACATCTCTCTACTCATTTTAAACCGAAGATCTTCCATTATTCTCATCACAAAGAAAATTAGAATCAAATCCAACATTTCCCTTAAAGGTATATGAAGAGCCAACATAGGTGAAATTATCACTCACATTTTTCATAAGCAGCCGCAGTTTGTCAATGTCTGAGAGCTGCTGCAAATCTTTAAGTGTCAGACTGAGTTCACATGACGTTTCATACACCAGCGTTTCCATGGTGACCAAGTCATCGGATAGGCGCTCCAGCCCAGGGATTTCACGCTCCTTCCCCAGACGCACCAGTGACAGGGCACAGTCCACCTGAAAGAGATACAAATGGGAAACAATGAATAACATCTAACTTCCTAATTTTATTTATGTTTAAAGGTTAGGTTGAAGATAAATCAATCCTTCAAAATCACTTTTGGGTGTAAAAGAGAAAAAAATCTCTACAACATAGCTGAGAATGTGGGGTTAATATGAATTCATCATCCTTTAGTCAGATAAACTTCGATAAAATCTAATGCAACCAATAAATTTCAGAGGTTAGTACATTAATTCAGGCCACTTGGAGATAACTTCCCCTAGTAAAAATCTAGTGCTCTTTAAGTCTCAGATAATCCTAATAAAAAAAAAAAAAACAGCATCATAGAGACCAAGCAACATGGGTCATAGGAGGATTTTACAACGGGGGTATCTGTCAGGGAAACTGCACCTCTACAAATCTGACCTTTTCAAGAGGTGAGCACAAAGCAACTGCTGAAAGAAAACAATAAGAAGACATGTTTACAGTTTACCACAGGGCATGCTGGGGACAAAGAAGCAGCTTTGATCCAGTGGAACCCAATTTGAGCTAAACTACATGCAAAAAATTATGCTTGCAGAAAAATGTATTGACTCATGGGGGAGGAACACAGAATGAGTACATCTGGAGAAAAAAAGGAATTAACAGATTAACTCCGCTTTCTGATTAAAATGTCCCCATCAAACCCAGGCCTCATTACTGATGAACCTTTAGAATCAGGTTTGAAGCGCTTTGTTACTTCTTGTTTGAATACTAATATCAGAATTTATTCAGGCTATCTTTATCTAATAATGAAATCTCTTTTACAAACTAAAGAAATCAGTTGCTTTATAATCTATCAAAAAGAGAAATCTGCACACATTTATGGCCCTATTCGTCAGAGTGCTTATTAAATATTATTTGCAATAAATACAAAATAGCTACATTTGCATTTAAACTGATCAAAATCTGTGTTCGCATGATGTATATATTTTTTAGGACCATAGGATCAAAACAGTAATATTTCTCCCCTAACTCCTAAGTATAGCTCAACATTTTGAAGTGTTATTCATTTTTTTAATAATGGTCTAATTTAATTTCCCAACACGATTGTCAAAAACATTTATATTTTCTCAGGGTACTTTGTGTGTTAATATGTAAGTGCTGTGCTTGACATTCTAAGTGTTTCTCATAAAAAAATCTTCCTTATTGTATTGCCTAATATTCAACTTTCTTTCTAAGGAAAAAAACCATGCATTCCCATCTCCTGTGGGAACTTTGGAAATGTTTTGAGGCTGTAGGGCTGCTTTGTTTCTAAATGTCTACATGTTGCAGAGCATACTCGTACAGCAAGGTGACTACAGCGGGTGCTGCCAGCAATGTGCTAGGTCAATAAAAAGAAGCTACTGGGGTTACTGAAGTGGGACATAGAAAAATCAACACTATTGCAGCCAATCCCTGACCAAATAATACCCATCAGTCTTTGCTAATATGCAATCATTATTCGTTCCACAATAAAGCCAAAGATTTGGGCTTCCTGCCGCTTAGATCAATACAATTCCATCCAGAAGAGCAACCAATCAATATTGGACCACCTATACACTGGCAGCACACCCAGCCAATCGATGAGCACCTACCTGTGGATGTTGGCTAATCAATAGCAGATGCCACCGGGCCTCTGGGTGATGATTGCTTTCTTCCTTTCTTTAGAGCAGAGCATCTTTCTTACACAGGCATGTGCACACACACAAAGATCCTACAGCCTTGTCAGCTTCTGCTTATTTCAGCATATTTCCTCTGAACAAGTAATTCCATACATCTACTCGCTGAACGTACATTCTTCCAAACAAACAGAGGCAGCATGAGAAACACCCGAACAGACTTGACTGAGAGCTTGAATGATTGGATTCAGAAAGAGGGAAAGGTCTATTGATCTAAACGTGCGAAAAGATCCAGCATGTCCTCTCCAGAGAGGGATACCTCTTTAACACTGCTGACAATTCAGATTCTAAAATAAGCATCAAGGTTTAACATTGATTTTTAAAACGTCCTTTTAATGTCACTCTAGAAAAAAATGAAAGAGTTATAAGAATTATCTCCAGCACCATGAAGAGAAGAGTAGGGATGATGCACACTGCCACTCAGCTCAGGAGGTTGATTAATACACTTAGGAAAACTTTAATTATCTGTATGGAAATATTTTCAATCATGAAAAAATACGAACCCACACAGCAGCAAAAACTAGTCTCTCCAACACACTTCAGCTGACGTTGTTTCACAGCTACAACTGGCAAGCTGCAGGCCTGGAGAATAGAATCACTACCTGCAGAGATACCCAACTAATTAACCATTTACTCTTACCTTCTTAAATGATCAGCAGATTCAGAAAGAGCAAAAAGAAAAAAATTGTAAAACATTACGTAAAATCCACTTTAAACCAACTGTTCAATATAACTGTTCCTAAAGTGATTTTATTATTATAAGGGTAACAGGGAGAATTGTTAGCTATGGGATGTTATTTTGCAGAACCACACAAAGCTTTTTTTCTTCTTTTTTTATGAAATCAATTGGATCGTAATATAAAGTTTTTTATGGGAGCAGCTAATTAATATCTCTAAAGCTGAAATAATAAATCAAATATTTCCACAAGTACCAACTGAGTTGAAAAGGGAACACCAGGCATGCAGAACAGGAGCAAGTAGGGAAGAGAGGAAGAAGAAATTTAAGCCATCTATTCCATCAATCATCATGGGCAATGGGAGATATTTAGCAGACAAGTCAGAAGAATTCAAAGCCCTAGCAAGAACCCAACCAGAATATCAGCAATGCAGTATTATTTGTCTTACTGAAACATGGTCGCAAGATCATATCTCGGACTCCAGCGTCTCTCTGACCATATGAGCACATTTAAAGAGGGCTGGGAAGTACAAAGGAAGTGGGTTGGCATTGCTTTTGAAGAGATGGTGCTATCCATCCATTACTGTGAAGATTCTGTTGCAGGTTGTTTTTCAATTATTTTTTCACCCAGAGAGTTTACCTGAGTTCTGTTACTGTTACCGTTTGAATTCCACATTCTGCCAAACAGTGAATGAGAGGTAATCAGTTCTGCTGTTACTAAGCTCCAAATATAACAGCCAAATTGTGGCAGTAACTGGTGATTTTAATCACGCCATACTCTCTGCTACAGTGCCACGGTTCCAGCAGTTTGTCAGCTGCTGTACCACAGAAAATAAAAATTTTGACTTATTTTGATGCAAATTTCAAGGACTCCTGCATCCCTGAAGACCTCCTCTTGGGAAATCAGATAAGCATGTTTTTTTTTTTTTTTTATCTGCTCAGAGTATAAGCCTTTTTATAAGTGAGAACCTACATTAAAAAGAACTGTAAAAAGATGGTCAAGGCTAGCTATAAAAGACCTGGACGTTTTTTTTGAGGCTATAGAACAGGATGCGCTGCTTCAGCCACATGGAGAGGACATCAATGCAATGAGTGTCTGACTGATTACATAAACTTCTGTGTAGATAACAGAATCCATACCAGATAAGTAAAATAATTCTCAAATAATAAACCATGGATCACAAGTGATCTGATGCAACTGATCAATAAAAAAAACAAAGGAGACAGGGAATTAATGAGGGGTATACAGAAGCAACTTAAGGTCATGATAAGAGAAAGGAAGGAGGCATACAGGAAAAGGCTGGAAAGTGAACTCCAGCAAAACAATATCAAAGATGTGTGGCCAGGGATGAAGAAGATCCCAGGCTTCAAGCAGAAGGCTGATCAGACAGATAGAAGTCTGGACAGAGAAAATAAACTGAATACATTCTTCAAATGGTTCAGTTCAGGAACAAGCTCAGCATCTTTCTCTTCTACCTAGAGTCGCATGAACACCCTGCCCTCTATTAGCTTGTTATCAGCCAAATCTGAAGATGATGCTGTTCCCTCTGCCTTTCCCTTTCCTGTCTCTAGAAGTCAAGTAAAGTGGCAACTGGAGAGATTGAATCGTAATAAGTCACAGGTCACTGTGCAGAGCAGATCTGTAGGATTCTACAAAACCTCTTCAACCTTAGGCTGACACAGGAGACAGTTCCAGTGATGTGGAAGACCTGCCTTGTTCCAGTTCAGAAGAAGACCTGTTGCCCTGTCATCTCCCATCCTAAAGGTCCAAGAGAGACTTCTGTTGGTATAACTCAGCAAACACTCAAGAAGCTATCAGAAACCCCTTCAGATTGCTTTCGCAGTGGATTTGGAGTTGATAATGCCATCATCCACCTGTTTAAACAAACCCACTGTTATTTAGACAAGGCAGACAGCACTATGAGGATAATGCTTTTTTATTTCTTTAGTGCATTGAACACGATTCATTCTGATTAGCTTTGTCAGAAACGACAAAAGACTCAGGTGGAGGCATCATCAATCGCCTTGATCAAAGACTACTGTACCTGAAGAACAGACCACAGTTTGTTAGAGTTAAGGGTCAGCAGTCTAATCAAGTAGTCAGCAGCATAGGAGCACCACAGGGGACAGTACTCCCTCCATTTCTTTTTACTCTGCCCACTTCTGACTTCCAGTACAAGACTGAGTTCTGTCATCTGCAGAAATACTCAGATGTCTATAAAGTCGTTGGGTGCATAAAAGATGGAGAAGAAGCTGAGTACAGAGAGCTGGTGAACCACTTTGTGAGATGATGTGGAAAAAAATCACATAGATACAAGTAACTATGGTATTTCTTTCCTTCCAAGCATAGCACAATCCAGCTGATTGTTGAACCTTGGCTTCTGGGGGAGCAGTGTGATTTCTGTCCTGGCCGTGATACACTGGACCATCTCTACAGCCTCTGGAGGGTGCTTAAGGGTTCATGGGAGTTTGGCAAACCGGTCCAAATGCGTTTTGTGGACCTAGAGAAGACATTCGACTGTGTCCCACATGGTGTCCCCGTTGGGGGGCACTCCAGGTGTGGGGGGCCCTTTACTAGGGGCCATCCAGTCACAGTACAAGTGAAGCAAGAGTTAGGTCCGCATTGTCAGCATTAAGTTTG